GGGGGGGGAAGTAAGTAGTGATATGTGATATGTATTGTGATGTATGGCGAAGGGAGAAGGAAAGGAAGGTATGATTCCGAAGCAATGAGAAGAAAATGTGAATGATGATCTGCGGATATTGGAAGATCGGGTATATATTGGAATTTTAACAAGACCAAATGGAATGTTCACTTGACATATTGGAAAAGGACACGAACAATGGCGACGTGTTGGGAATGGTTTCGGATTACTTCAACCCGAGGAAACGCTTCGAATTCTCGTAAACAATATAGCTGATTGAAACTGCTGGTGCTACTTTGAGCATGTTCGGAGTGATGCCTTTGTAAAATCCACGCAAACCCTCGGTCCGGTAGGTCTTTCGAGTCACATCCATAATGCCATCATAAGTTGCTGGATGTAGGACTGTACCCTGTGCTTGCAGCCGCGTTCGCAGGACATTGAGTGGATAGACAAAAGAGGCGCCCAGAGCACCGCTAAAAGCACCAATGACTCCAGTCGTGAAGTTGCTCAACGGCGCATCATCTTCATGGCATTTTTCTAGCCGAGCTTTGCGGGCAACTAACCTCCTTTTGAGATACTCAAACGTCGACAAGTCGATTGCGGCATATGGGAACATGCCAACGAGGCCTAGGGGCAGACCGCGATAGAATGCAAAGCCACCAGTGCTTTGCCACATTTTTCGAGCAGTCTCGGCAATGAGTTTGTTTCCTCGATTGCCTCCCTGCACAACTTCGCATTGCATGCGGCTATTGCTGTTATTAGACGGAAAAGTTTCGCTATTTATGGGGTCAAGCTTACTCACAATTTGAGCGTATCGATGGGATAAACGCAACACTGAGCCACCATGCCACCAAGTCCGCCAGACAGAAATTGCGAAGTTGGTTTGATCTGCTTAGGATCGTTATGTCCTTCAAGGCGGGCAAATGCTCGTTTAGATGCCTCCGGCAGTTGTCAGTTAATAACTCCCAGAAAGAGAGAGAGAGGAAATGGGTATGCTTACCTCGTAGGCGCCAAATTTGATAGCTGATTCTGGCATGATCTTGACCACATTGAGTCCATTGCCTATAAAATAAGTTGAGCAACTGGTCTCGAAATTCAAACAGACCAAAGCATCACCAACCTGCAAAGAGACTCCGAATTCCTCCCGCTCGCCATAGTTCCCTAGTCGCCTCGATCAAAGTCCCCAGTCCCTTTCCCACAGCGCTTAAAGGAGCACCCTTTTTAGCCGTACGGACAGCCTCTTTCTTTACGCCAGTCTGGGCGATAAGGTACACTTTCAGACGGTCGAGGGGCGCAGTGGCTGTCCGTGAGACGGCGCCAGCGACTCCACCGGCGACGAAATAACCTAAGTGAGGGAATATGTCGGTTAACTGCAGTTCATAAGAGCGTACTGACAGCCACATGGCTATGGGTTGGGAAACAGAAAGCCACTCCAGCTCATGATCAAGGTCCCCGTCGAACGCAACCATATCCGGATCGGAGGCTGGCTCAGCATTGGACGTCTCAGCATATGCGACAGCTACCAGGTTGACTGGTGCGACGTTCAATATTATTGAGAGAGGAACTTGAAAGATACAATATACAATGCTTTCCAAGGAATGTAAGAAATGAGACAGGATCGGGACTGCAGTACCTAAACCCTGTAGAGTATCACTGATGTCGACGTCTCCTTCCGGGTTTAGATTTCCCGTGGCCTTGTAATATGAAAGCACGGTGCGCAAGTTGGTAACTTCGGTTGGTAAAAAGAGTAAAAAGTCCCTTTAACCCAAGAAAAAAAAGAAAGAAAACCGAAATATTGATCAGCGGACAAGAAGTCTCTCAAACGCAGTTGACGGCCAACTAGAAGAGTATGCCTACCTCCATTCATTATAGGTAATGACGCCATCGTTGTTTTGGTCCATTTGAGCCAGAAACGAATCAAGCATGGAACTCGACACCGTGATACCTGCATTTGCAAATGCATCTCTCAATTCTGTCCTGTCTATTTCTCCATTGCGGTTTCGATCGATGCTTTGGAAGAGTTCCCATAACGCCTGGTCGGCGCGAGAGACGAAATCACGAAATTCTGCAAAGAGCCAATGATTAAAAAAGAATATTGACCATGGATAGCAGTGAAAAGTAGCCCTGAAAGCGAACATACCTCCGTATTGTATTCGTCCATCGCCGCTAGTATCGACTGTCTTGAAAAGCTGGTGAAGCATAGAATCCGCGTTTTTGAGAGCTGCGGGGAAATCGAGAAAAAAAGCAAAAGAGAGGCAATGGCCGTCAGCGTTTGGTGGCTATTCAAAAAGCGCACGCGCACATAGAATTAAAATTGCTCACGATGGTCCATCCTCCGCAGTCCCTTTCTCAGGCCATTGAAGTCCACATAGCCCTGTCCACGAGTATCTATAACCGCCCATAATTTGTCAACCCCGTCGGGGCTGTCGAGGGGCTTCATCTTCGCGAGCGGGAGGTGACAGAGATTGCAGTCATGGAGTCGACGCAAGCATTCTTTGCACGGAGTATCTGTGGTGTAAATAATGAATTGAGAACTCAGACCGAGCTAAATCTGATCCGATGAAGCCGGTTGCTATCTGCGCAGTGGATATGGTTATGAAGTCCCCAAGAGTAAGAAGTTCGTCGGGATGGCTCGGACCAGCTGGTTTCTGGCCAATCAGCGTGTCCGTGTTGCAAAGGAGGCACTATGCCTGTTCGGGAAGGGTTGTGTGTCGTCGGAGTCGATCGTTTGTCAGACGAACATGAACTTGACTTCCTTGCAACCACAAGTACGACTATATGCTGTAGGCACGGCATTGATATTGGCAAGATCTGTTGCTTTCAATATTCGCATATATATATCTCTCTCTAAATCAAAGTGATCCGGCCATGTCCGTATGAGAACCGTCCCTATCGAAAATCTCAATATGCATCGCAACTCTCAACGATGATGTATATCCGTGGCATATATACGTATAAAACAACTGTTTCGGGTTTGAATATTTCGACTTGATATTTCCTGCCTATGGCCGCGAATTTTTGGGTGTCGACTCAGCGTCGACATTGGATGTTTACACGAGAACGCCTGGCGGAGATCAGAGAGAATATCAAGGAGAAGAGCCAAGACGGTCTCCAAACGCAACTTCCCGATGTTAGGGTTATCAACATTGTCTTTAAAGCAGGTAATGCAACAAATGCACCAGTACACCTCTGTGTGGACAAGCGCTGAAAGAAGAATATGGTTGTGATTGTAGAGTTATGCAGACTCGCCAAAGGGCTGGGTTCGCGGCAGCAAGCCGTTGCAACGGCTCAAGTCTATATGAAAAGATTTTATACGAAAGTCGACTTTCGACAGACAAATCCATTTCTTGTCATGGTCACGGCGTTTTACCTGGCCTGCAAGATGGAAGAATGTCCCCAGCATATCCGGATGGTGACTAACGAAGCCCGGCAACTATGGCCAGGTATGTTACTATTTCCCACGATAGCGATCTACAACATGCTGAACGATTTACAAAGAATTCATTACAAGCGACCCGGCCAAGATTGGGGAATGTGAATTTTACCTCATCTCCGAAATGCACTCACAGTTGATTGTGCACCATCCATATCGGACTGTGTTGGAGCTGAGCAAAGCGCTAGAATTGACGACAGAGGACGTCAACCAGGCCACAAATCTTATAAGTGATCATTACCAGACAGATCTACCGCTTCTCTATCCACCACACATCATCGCAGTAATGGCTATTCTCCTCGCCGTGATGTTTAGCGGCAGCGGCGGCGGTCAACGCAATGCATATATATATGGTTCGCTGTCATCATCAGGCACATCTTCAATAGCTGCGTCACTTAGAGAAGGTGGCATGGGAGTGGCGCTTTCTGCATTTGAATCGGGCACAGCCGCACAAGGCGCAAGACCAGATCCAAGGATCCAGAAGATCGTTAACTGGCTGGCCGAAAGCGAGGTTGATATCCGGGCAGTCATTGAATGTACGCAGGAGATGATATCACTGTACGAGCTTATGGAAGGGTTGAATATTCAACATTGCAAGGAAATCATCTCAAGGATGACCAAGAATAGAAACGCAGATAAGTGAGGAACTATCATGGGTGTTCTAGGTATATTGTACGAGGTTGCTGAATTGAATGTCCAGGTATATATAATTCTTAACGGTGGCTTGGGTCGGTCTTTCAGTTATGTAAAAGGCGCGATGCTACAGAGAATTTGCCCATCAAATAACCTTGTTTGATGACGAGCATTCTCAACGTGAATCGAAGTTTCCATGGACCAACTCCTGGCGGCATGGATATATCGACGTATCACGATGACAAATACTACACCCATAAAACTACACTTATTTAAACGTCTCTAGGAGTGCACTTGTTGCTAACATAGAATATGTTCTCTTTCATCTCTTGCGATGGGGTCTTACGGCGTCTACTGTGTCGTGTGTAGGGTGGCCATCGAGAGCCATTGCCGAGATGAATCCAGAATATTGCGACAAGATAAAAAGCGGCAAAGTACGAAAATAAGCCAGGAGTACTCTTCATGGACGCAGCGGAGCTTGAGAAGAAATACTTCAAATGTACTAAAAATAGCTTTTGGGTCAGTCTTTACCGTGTGAGCGAGTACTTACCTGTCCTTCCTGTTTTTGTGAGAGGGAGAGAGAGTTAATAGTTTAAATAATTTAGTCTATTATGATTCCGTTGAGGAAAAGTTCAAGCTCTCCGGCATAGGACAAGCTAGGAGTTGCGTCCGTGAGGGATAAGCGACAAAGTGTATCTTCCAATACACATAGCAGCAGATCCGTGAATAGGGGCAAGGACTACCAAAAGAGCGAGGACGGCCTGAAGCAAAGTCCGACATTCTGGATTTTCGAGTCTACCGCTCGAGCTTCTAGATCTGGTTCTTAACTTTCTGAGCGTAGCATTGAAGACATTCTGAGTTTCGAAACAGCGCTAGGAACTGTCGTTGCAGATAGGTATTGGCCTCTACGTGCTGCTTGAAATCTTGTAGAGATGGACCAAATCGCAGAAGGAAATCTCAACTGGCGTTATATGTTTACGAGCCTGGAGGCCCTAAAAGAGAGCAAAGAATTTGAAAACTGGGGCACCAGAGTTAGTTTTCTACGTTTCATGCAAAACTTGAGAGAAAGCGTCTTTCGGACTCTGGAGGAGATCATGACTCAAGCTTTAAGGGGGCATTACTATAAAATTTATTGCGAGCTGCTCAGGTACCAATGGTTCTATGACAAGCTAGTTATCATTTGTTGACATTCACTTGCATCGCTAAGCCCTTAGTGAAGCAAGTACTCCGTACATCTTGGAAGATCTACCGAGATCATACCTGCTGTCGCACTAGTCATGCAGCACACTCGATGCAGAAAGAAGACCAGCCTATCTGCGAGTGTATACTCCGTACTATGCGGTGGTTAATTGTGGGGAGGGCTATTTTTGCTGGTGAAAAGACTAAAATAGCGGTGACTGGCGTTGTGTCGTCCAATAACTAAACTCCATCATACTAACTAACTCGTAGTCATCGTTTCAAATGTAGTTAACTTAACTTCACTGACTGTACGGAGACCCTGTAGAAGAAAGGTCAAGGCGATATCAAGTATCCTGCAATCGACTCGATGTAGTGACCCGACTCAATAAACATGATACGGCGTCTAGCCTCTCACACGATCAGGCGACTGGTGTTGGATGTTGATGATGTATGCACGCTAAGTCTAAAACGGCTAGTGCGTGGAAGAATCACCGAATTTTCAAGTCAGCTGCCAAAGTAAAATACAGTATGGCCGATACAGGCTGTGTCTCATAATGTTGTGTTATGAACATAGGTGTGGAATGAAGGGCACTATTACTGACGCAGGTACGGAGTACTCCGAAGGAGGCTTAGCCATTTCGACTCTGCATAGCCTACTGAGCTTTATGGAATCCTTTTGACTATAGGATGCTCCTATTCCTACTTCCATCAGCCTGGGATACTCCTGATCTTGAGTGCTATTTTAATAATACACTATACTTCCGTATGCCAGCGCAGAATGGCCAACGTCATGACTAAACATTTCATTGCCGCCGCACGAGTCACGCTGCAAAAAATGTGGGCTTGCGGCCATTGGCCACCTGCATTACGTACCCCGCTCCGTGGCTGAAATGACATGATATCATTGGGACAGCGACCCACAGGTGTCTCGATCTGGTTGGCCGCTGAGCCGTTTGCCACTAGCCCTGCCACTAGCGTGCTCCAGGCTCCGATTTCATTGGGCACAAAGGTACAGATGTGGTCTCATTGCGGTGGGCTCCTATTACAAGCGCGTTACGATCGCTGCTCATCACTTTGGCGGCGATCCCAACCAATGACTCACTGTTTGGGTTTCGGCAGAACAGTACGTTACAATATTTCCTGCCCTTGCGTTTGGAGTGCCCCACCTGCAGGCGCCAGCCGGGCCCGTGAGTGGCTCAGGCTCTGCCCTGCCTGCCCACGATGCTGGCTGCGTCCGACCTTGGGGCTTTTTCTTTTTCGTCTTCGGCTCGCTCTTCCCTCCCCCCGTTCCGCCTGGGTTTATTATTGTCCCGCCATCGCTAACTTCTCCCTCCTTCCATCCAATCCATCAACCCATCAACCCATCCCACACTCTACACTATTTCTTTGTCACAACTCAAATACTATTCGATCTTTCTCTCATCTCTATTTCCTTCCTGTTCTTATACACCTGTGCCTTTTATTTGACAAAAATAGACTTCAGCAACAAACACCCCAACACCAAAACCAACGGACGCTATGGCATCGACCTATTTCTACGGACATCAGCACCAACAGCAACACCATGTTGTCAATGCCCATCTGCAATCCAACAACCACCACGGTGGCCGCCGGAGAGGCCCTCGCATGCCAGGTCAGAACGCTCAAAGACAGTCTCGCAGTGTGAAGGCCATGCGGGAAATGGCCGAGGCTCCCACCGTTGCTGCTTTCCGTCTGCGCTTCGAGGCCGGCCGCTCTTTTGACTTGGATGACGATTTGGAATTTTGTCCCAATCTCCTCACAGAAGACGATGTTCGTATTACCCACAACTTACTATATTGATGATGGTGATATTTTTTTTTTTTTCCTGGTAATTGGCTACTAACTGCCGGTGCAGTTACATTCAATCCATTCGTCTGCCTCGGATCGCTCATCCCTGTCGAGCGGCTCTCCAGATTCCTCGCCTATGCAACATCAAATTCAACCTGCCCAGCAACAAGTCACGCCAAGCATTTCACTCTCCCCCGGGCCATCCACGACCTCTTATGTCAACAATGTTGCTGCCGCTGCCGCCATGAATAGTAATCTTAATGCCATGCATTTCCAGCAGCCAGCGGCTGCTCGTACACGGAAAGTCATTCCTATTGTCAACCCGCAGACCGGCGTCACACTCGCCAGCCCCCCTACGTCGATCAATCCCAGCATGATGCAGAGCCAGCGTCGGTGGTGAGCTCCGTCATTTCCTCTGCAAAGCTTGACCAAGGTCCATTTTCTCTCTCGTTCGGCATGCCTTGTGTGACTCTTTTTACAATTTTTCTCTTCGCCGTCGCTGGCTCAAATCTGCATCATCTGGGAATGGGGGAGTTTTTAGTGCTTCTTTCATCCGGTCTCGACGATCCTTGCACGACAACATCTTTTCTATTCTCTCTCATCATACGTTTCTTTTTTATATATAAAAGAAGAATTATGTCAACACTGTATATATTTTTCCATTATTGATGATGACGACTAAAATATTCCTCCGGCTTTACCCCACGATGGGATTTGCAGATCGACTTTGAGGGGAAAAAAAAATCATTCCATTGCCAGCGACGGCGCATATATTTTGCATCTCAACCTTGTGGAATTCAGCAACAAGCGTTTTGTGGTTTTTTTTTTAACGCAACGGGAAAAAATTATACCAAAATTTCGTTTTCGGCCTGGTGCACGACTTGCTGCCACAGTGTATAGAAAGCGCAGCATTTGTTTATTTACTTTTTCTTTCGTGTGTGTTGTTTGTTTATGAGATATCACAACGCATGCCTCGTGTTGAGGAGTTTTTGATCTTGGCGACTTTCGGATCTACGACCTGTTCACCTTCTTATACGACGCTTTCTCTTCGCTAATATGTCCTTATTTCTACATCATTTATCATTTGATATCACTGGGATGGATGTAACTGGGGTGGAATGGTTTTTGCGTGATTATTATTTTTTCTTTTCAATGGGCTTAGACGGCGGAAACGATACAATGTCTGCATTGGGTTGTGACTTGTTTGAACATTTTGGCTTGATTTTGTTGAAGCATTCTGTTGTCAGATATCTGGGCATCGGAAGAGCCCTCGTTTACTCTTGTTTTTTTCTTTCGTTTCTTCATGTTTCTTTTATTATTATTGTCTGCGGATATCCATGGGTACATGTATGGGGTGGTTGAAATGAAATAGGCGGGAAAAAATATTTGCTACTTATTTTTCATCCTTGCCTGGTCTGGAGTTTTTCTATAGGGTCTTTCATCGAGCACAAGACCGTGTCGAATATACGTTTGCTTCTCCTTTATACATTCGAGCATATTAAGCCATTCCCAGGATAAAATAAATCAGTGTATGACCATGATTGCAACCTCAGGCAGCAATCCACTTTTGGTTTCGTCGTTTGTCGTCGTCTTCCTGACGTCATAGCCCATGCGCCCTACTCCAATCAGGATGGACTCAATTGCTGGCCAAGAGTATAAAGACGTGCATATTTCAATGGTCCATGGAATCAAACATCATCGTATCTATCCTCCAACTTTCTTTTTTGTGTCAGATAATCTGGTTGAACGCAGTGGTCGATTGATCGATATATATTTCTACTGCGGCTATCCACTATCCCCCATAGTACATACACAACACCACATCAAAACTGGAGAAGAAACATATCTACGAAGCCAGACTACCTCGGTACAAAGAAAAAGAGAATTGAAAATGGCCTCTCTCACACCCTACCTCCGTCAAACCATCAGGCCTCTCGCCACCTCCCTGTCTTCTTCCTCGTCGTCGTCGTTATCATCGAGAGCAGCGTTTTCGACGTCGTCTATCCAACGAGGTCTGAAGGAAAGCGACAAAGGTATGGTACCTCTACTCGTGGGACCACTTTAAGGTTCCGAAGAAGAAGAAGAGGAAGAAGTAAAGGCTAATACAATCCAACAGACCGCGACAATCTAAACGTCGAATACGACAGCCACAAGCAAGAAAATCTGAAAAATATCAAGGCCGGAAAGGCGTATTGGCGCGAAGAACTGGCGAGCGAGAGTGAGGCAGGCGTTAAAGCGGATCGGGGAGAGGCGTCGATTACGGAGAATGATATCAAGGGGTTGAAAGAAGAGGCTGTTAAGGGTGGTGGCAGTGCGGGGAGGAAGTGAAATTCCATGTGTTTCGGAAGGCATCAAATTGTTCACTGAATGGAGAATAGGATTGTCATCTTGAAGTTGGAAAAACAGGCAGACGAAGTGAGAGGGAATGGGACGCGTTTGTTATCGTCTAGGATATAATTGAGTTTCGAACGAAATTGATAGTGAATAATCGTCGTCTATAAAGAGTAGACAAGTGCAGAAAGAGTGTGGTATCTTGTGATACGTTAAACAACATGAGCCCATAGCCACCAGAACGCCATACATGAATAGGGAATAAGAAGATTAGACGATAAAATCGCCAATGCCAAAAAAAAAAAAAAAAACCGCATCGTTCAAACCAAGGGAAACCCCCTCCCCCTCCCCCCCAGAAAAAGAAAGAGGGAAAGAAGAAAGAAAAGGAGAGAGGGAATGGAAAGATCACTTCAGAATGACAATCAAAATCACAAGAACAATAATCAAGCCTACAATAGTCATCATACTCCAATTATCGCCAGCCTTCCTCCGAATCTTGTCTAACCTGCGACGAGCATTGTTCAATCGTCCCTGGTGACGATCAACATGCTCATCGACATCATCCAGAAGCGCGATTTGCCCTTCCAGCTCATCACCAATCTGGATACTCAACTGATGCTGTCGCCCAATCGACTCGCCCAACTGATCCAATTGCGCATCCTGGTCTTGCAGGATTTGCTCGTGATGTGAGTGAATCTGCTGGTTACTCAGGTTGCTCATGTCCAAGTGATGGCGGCCATCCTCCTCATCATGCGCTGGGTCATCTCGGTATGGCTGGAGAAGCGCCGCTCGATTAGAGTTATATTCCGCCTCGTCATCATCATCGTCGTCCGTGAACCGCACCGATTTCGAGATCGGGTGCTGAGGAACCGGCTGCTGGAGATTCGCTCCGCGAGTCGCATGGGCAAAATCGGGTCCTAGGGATGGATCATTCGGCACTTTTGTGGCATCACTCGGCCCTTCGTTGCTGTCCTTGTTATAAAACTGGGATGCAAAGTCGTCGTACTGGCTGCGTAAAGTGGCCACTTGCTGCTTTCCGTCTGCATCTAGAGTGTTGTCGTTTTCTAGCTTCTCAAGCCCATCGCGCATCGACTCTAATGACCGTGAAATCTCGCTGTCGTGTGTGTTCGGCTCTAGGTTTAGTGATGTAGCTCGTTCTCGCTCGAGGAGGGACAGTTTGATGTGGTCCGCAAGGAGGAAGAGTTGCGACGGGTTTGTCATGATGATGATGATGATGATGGTGCTGCTGCTTTCTAAAGGAAGAATCGTGTTGTTTTTAACGAGTCTGTGAATAAAACGAGAACGCTGGAAGTGACAGACTATAAATTATAGAAAGAAGGATTCAAATCTGGTGATGTACCCAAGCCGAATGAGGATGATGATGATGATGATGATGGTTATCAAAGGTCCGCACTTCCGGATTCATCGGAGGTGGAAATGAAATGGGTTGGTTGCCTGAAAGGACGGGCCGCCGCCGGGCTAGATCCCGTGCCTTGCAGCAGAGCGCACAGTGGTCGACTTTGAGTCCAGGTAAGGGACGAATTGTAGGAGAATTTGCTCTCAACCTTGGAAGATTCTTTACATGTATGTATAATATGTAGACCGGATTTTGTAGATAGTTGACCGAATGAGCGGCGGATCGTTCGGCATATGGTATATCTATATGCCTCAGGCTCGCTCTGCTGGTGCAAGCTTGATAGCCGGAATTCTGGGCCTGGGTCTCTACATTGATCGTTTGGATTTTGAATAGAAGACGAATCTAATGCTGTTATATCCTCATAAACAGGCGATCTAAGAAAGAGTCGAGCAAAGTGGTAGATGAACATATAACTACCGTCTGTTCTATACATAACGCTAATTGGCTGAGCATTTCAAAAGGAGAGGAGTTCAGTCTCCTCGCGCTGCACCGAGCGACTCGAATAACAGAAACAATCCCTTTATACACTCGTATTAGCCCGACATATAACAAACAGTTCCTTAGTGGCCAAAACTCGAAGCCATTGCGGGTTCTGCCTAATAATTATTAACCGTTCCAACTATACTATTTACGGCCTAGCACCGTCTCTACTGCCGCCTCAACCATCATCGGTGGAATCAACACAGCATGTCCGACAACATCCTCTCTGCTTGACTCAGTCTCTTCTTGGTATGCTACACTGTCACGGTACAGCCTGAAAGGGTCCAGCCGGGGGACAGCAGAATCAACACATCTACTGCAGATCACACAGCTTCGTTTCAGCCACTGGATGATACTCCAATCAGAAGAATCTATTCGCCCCAGCTGGGGGTATCACGGAGTTCTTGCACCGGCACCCCCGTTTCCCTCTCCGCGTCGCCGAATGGCGATCAGTTCTTATTCGGCTAGGGTCAGATTCGGAGGGTGAAGAATATTTGTATATATATGTACTGGCGTAGCCTCGGACTGCGCCATGGATATCGTCGAGCTCCTTCATGCAATGAACATGGATCGCGGGGTAGAAGAGGTGGTTGACCTCAGAGCATTGGACTATGTCTCGTCATATGATGAGCACCTAATGTGCCCGATATGCCATTGCCCCTTTATACGGCCTTTGCGACTGCAATGCGATCACGTCTTTTGTCAAAAATGCATAAACGACGCTATCATGTCCTCCGATTCTGACGCGCGGGATTTCCGCTGTCCGTCGTGTCGTGCTCACGCTACGGACATATCAGGAAACATACCTCGATTACTGATCAATATGTGCGATGATGTTCGAGTGCGGTGTCCGTACTCTGATGAAGGCTGTCCAGAAGTCATGGCTCGAGGACACGTGCAATTGCATGTGGAGAAGTACTGCGATTACAAGCTGTTGCAATGTCCGCAATCGACCTGCAACCAGAAGACTCTCAGGAAGAAGCTAAATCCGGACAGATGCATGCACACTACTGTCAAATGCGAGGCCTGCGAAGAGGATGTAATGGAGCAAGATTTACAGGTAAGCGCTCCCTTTCGAATTTCGCCTACGAAATTTCTTGTATATCGGTATGATCTAAGAGACAATTATCATGGGTACAGGACCATCGAGATTCGCTCTGTCCCAGCTTACGGACTAATTGTCCCGACTGTGGCGCGATGGTATTCCGCAGCGCACTCGAGGAACATGTTGAGACTTGTCCTGAAGCTATTCATCTATGCCAGGCATCGAAATATGGATGTCCCACCAAACTAAAACGATCAGAATTGACAGTGCATGAACGAAGCTGTCCACTGATAACTATGGGCCCGTACATAGAAGCGCAGAACTCTCGTATTGACTCACTAGATATGACCATTCGGCAATTGCTGCAAAGAAACGAGATCCTCGAGGATGGAATTGCCAACATTCGCTCCACATTGATGGAGAGCGCTCGTTTCATGCATGAAGGTCGGAATGACCGGCAAGTTCCTAGTGGAAACGTGAACCAGGACCACGCCCAATCCGAACCCAGACAATCCGAAGAAGTCGATCGTTCGTCACAACTGTCGTCTTCGACGGCATTGACATATCTCCTATCACTGCACGAGTCTCTCCGCGAGGAGGTATCCCAACTGTCACGAGCAATTACCGACCTTGATTCCCGTGCCAGTATGGCGATTCTGAATGAAAGCATGCGCGTGAACGAGGACATGGCTCACACAAGCGCTGCAATCAATACAATACGAATGCAAATACATTGGCTTTTGAATCCTCGGTTGCAACAAGGTCATCGACTAGGCTCTGCAGCAGCCGGAGGAGACTCGCAACCGGGGCCAAGCACTCGGGCTGAGCCTGGTGCAAGCAATTTAACAACACGACGAAGACTCAGCGATAGCGGTCGTGAGGGGACTAAGCTGTAGGCGGAAGATGCCTGGCTTGATTAGATTAATGGATCGATGCGGCGTCTTGGTACGGAATGATACCCCATTAAATTTGAAGCATTTGGCTGTACTATAATGTTCGGAGTAATGTACAAATAGTAATAAACGATTTACCATCTATTCTCACTTCCCTAACTTAACTATCGAAGTCTGAGTAAGCCCTAAACTAGTCTGAACTGGGTATAGTGAAATGCATCACGTGACCGCCTCAGAGATTTCCCCGCCAAGGCTGGAAAGTGCGGGCATCCAACTTGGCACTAAAATCAATCAAGCATTTCTGTGGCCTCCGTCATCGAGAGAGGAAGAGACCGACTGCAGCTTGCCTGGTTGACAGCACCGCTCGCTTTTGCATTAGGCAGGAGAGCCCTTTAGCTGCCTTGCTGTCCGCCATCACAAGCATCCTCTCTTGAGTGTTTGCCCCGAGCACAACTACAAAAGAAATTGAAGAGGAAGTATAGCCCAGGGAGAGGGCTGTCGCCAAGATGCCGCCAAAGAAGGGAGCAGACCAGCCCAAGAAGAAGAAGCCGACTGTTGAGGACAAGGTAGGTTATTCTCAGTATGTGTGTACAGGCAGATGAATGGAGGCTAACTTTGTGCCCAACATTATAGACCTTTGGTATGAAAAATGTACGTCAAATTCCACACAGCGCCACGGACAACTTCCTACAACGAGAACACCCCATTCACTAACACCTTTGAAGAAAAAAGGTTCAACTGCCCGCAAACAGATAGCCCAACTCGAAGCGCAAGCCCAACACAACAAGAATGCCGATGAGAAACGCAAGGAAGCCGAGAAAGCCCGTCGCGCCGCCGAAAAGGCAGCCAGCGAGCAAGCCAAGAGAGAAGCCCTAGAACTGTTCAAGCCGGTGCAAGTCCAAAAGGTCCCCTTTGGCGTCGACCCGAAGACCGTTGTGTGCCAGTTTTACAAGCAGGGTCATTGCGAAAAGGGCAAGAAGTGCAAGTTCAGCCACGATCTGAGTGTTGAGCGTAAAGCGGCCAAGAAGGATTTGTACTCGGACTCGAGAGATGCGGATGCCGCTGCTAATGGTAAAGAGAAGGACACCATGGACCAGTGGGACGAGGCGAAGCTTCGAGATGTGGTGCTGAGCAAGCATGGCAATCCGCGTACGACGACGGACAAGGTGTGCAAATATTTCATCGAGGCTGTCGAGAATCAGAAATATGGTTGGTTCTGGACGTGTCCAAATGGCGGCAACAAGTGCATGTATCGTCATGCTTTACCACCGGGGTATGTATTGCCTTTTTTTTTTTTCTCTCTATCTCTGATGATCATCTCGTATTTACTAAGACGATGCAGATTCGTCCTCAAAACGAAAGAACAACGCGCTGCTGAAAAGGCCATGATGGATGAATCGCCACTCAACACCCTCACCTTAGAAGACTGGTTAGAGTCTGAGCGACACAAGCTCACCGGCACATTGACCCCGGTTACTCCAGAGTCTTTCGCCGAATGGAAGAAGAGACGCCTTGACAAGAAGGCGGCCGAAGAAGAAGCTCGCAAGGCCAAAGAAGCAACTGGTCGTATGCTCTTCGAATCTGGCAACTGGCGTGCCACTGGAGATGAAGACGAGGATTCCGAAGACGATGAAGAAGAAGAAGATGGCGCCTGGAACCTGGAGGCACTGCGCAGAGAGACTGAGCGTTTACGTCAGCAACGGGAAGAAGAGCGTCTGGCGAAGTTGCATGGCGGCTCTGTTCCGGGCGAGACGACGCTTGGTGAGGGATTACAAGTTGACGGGGCTGGCTAACTGTTGTTGAGCTCGACTTAGCGTCAGTTTTGTGATTTTTTTTTCTGATTTATGAGCATCATGAGCCGGGCCAATAAATACATTATCCTACAGTATAAAACAGTTACGTTTCTACATCTGAAATACACCTGACATGTCCACTGCCTTTCATGGCTATTACTTACATCTTAGGAGACTGAGAAGAATGTTAAGTTTAGGCTATTCGAATCGTATGGCTAAGGTATGATTTCATGGATTGCTCTTCCTTCATGTCACAGAGATGAACATATACTACCATTTCTCGACATACGGTCTCAAATCCAACTCAAACGCAAACGTTGTGCGTGGCTGCGTATGCAGGAACCAGTACGAGTCGGCAATCTGCTCACATATCAGTTAGTCACCACCACCAATCTAGATGTAATATAATCCAGGCAGCTACGCAAGGTCAGACAATCTTACAGCTTCAGGGCTCAATTTCGCATCCTCGACCTCATTCTTCCAGTGCTTCGTGCGCGGGATATCAATCACCCCGTCGACAATGATGTGTGCCACATGGACTCCCTGGGGGCCAAATTCTCGAGCCAGCGACTGCGACAGGGCGCGGAGACCGAACTTGGAGGCTGCAAAGGGCGCGAACGTGGCTGATCCTCGTATACTTGCCGTAGCTCCTGTGATTTCTCTGTTATCTCGCCGACCTCTCCAAGTTGAGCTAGCAGATGATATATGTATATGTATATATACCAGTGAATATCAAACTCGGTGGAAACTCATTCCCCACCCCTTTCAACAACAAAGGCAAAACAGCCTGCGAAAACAAAAACGCCCCCTTCGTCTGCACATTATAAGCCGACGAGAACTCCTCCTCGGTCAATTCCAAAAACGGCTTCTTCACAAACCCGCCACCGGGATTGAAGATTGCGGCGGCCAACGGGGTGTCCGGGAAGAGTTCGGTGGTGATTTTTTGAAACGCGCTGCTCACGGATTTTGCGTCTGAGATGTCGGTGCTGATGCCGATTGCTTGGCCACCGGAGGTATTGATCTCGTTGACGACGCCGTTGTAGTTCTCTGGGTTGCGGGCTAGGACAACCACGGGGTAGCTTTGGGCGAATTTGCGGGCTATGGAGGAGCCCTGGATATAGAAAATCACCTAGGTATCAGTATGTTTTTTTTTCCCCCTTCTTTCTTTTGGGAGGGAGTTCTTGGAGGATGAAGGGTATATGTATGTCCTACAGTTCCGGGGCCCACGCCGGCTACTATGGCGAAGACTTTCGTTGCAGACATGTTTGATGAAGTGTCGACTGAGTAGGTAAGTAGTGAGTATAGCCGTAAATCAGTAGCACTGGTTGAATAGTTAACCTTTATAAACGGGAGGCTGCTTAGAAATCAAGCAGTTATTAGTTAGTTAGTGATTATTGATCTGCTAATAGCCCGAGAGAATTGATATTGACCATGATGGGATATTGACCGAGACTGGCTGCGGATGGCGTCATATGCGTTGCGTTGCGTTGCGGGGTTTGCTCGGTATATCTGAATATCTGAATATCTGAATATTGAATATCTGAATAGCAGTAGTAACTCATGTTCCATCGAATGCAGAAATGGACAGACTGAATCCTGCCCTAGCATGTGTAAAATATCCAAGCATCGTCGCGCAGAAAATGTTGCTATGCATTGAATATGTCTACAATGAATGGTTATGGTTATAGTTATAATACAAGACGACGCCCTCACGTCGCCAATCTACCAGCGCCTCCACCCTTTCTTATCATCCTCTGCACTTGCACCCCCGTCCCTAGATGCCTGCCTCTCAGAATCTAGCATTCTGTCAAATTCTCTCTGCGCAGCTTCTCTCTCTCGCTGCCTGTTCTGCTCCTCACTGGTATAAGAAGAAAACTCACTTCCTTCACTCAGCGATTGCGAACTCTGAGCAGCAGGAGATGTCTGCTGCCTCCAAGCAGAAGCAGACGAGCGAGGACGAGAAGCATTCTCACGCCGAACACGCTCCCATGCGTTTTCATTTGATAAAGATGACGAAAGTGCTTGTGATTTTTGAAACTCCGGTGCCGTCGGACTAGCATCATCAAAGAAGTCTTGAGAAGATGACGACGAAGAAGAGATATCCGAGGGAATCTGTGTTTGCCATTGCCTATGACTATTATCATAGACAGTCTGAGCCTGGCCGTAAGTAACCTCCGAAGAAGAAGAAGAAGAAGGCTGTTCCTCAGCACTCGCCGTCGCATGGCGCGCAGTATCGCGCTCTTCCCGTCTCTGCCGAGTCTTCTCCCTATAACCTTCCAACCTCTGCATGCGCGCCTCAGCATACTTCCTAATCGCCTCCCTAAACTCCACCAGACGCGGATCCGTCGACAGCGCAACCGTAAACCGATACGACGCCAGTGCCGCAAAATTTCCTAACGTAAACACCACCCACATGCCAAACCTGAGCCCGCACTGGAACACAGCCTGCCGACGATCCGCAGCGGGGGCCTGCCGCCACGCCGTCTGCACACCTTCCACCAGCGAGGTTGTAGCGGGGATCTTGAGCTGTTTACGGAGCGTGTAATATGCATGTGCGGATCCGGCTGTGAGGCCGAGCGGGAGGCCGATTCGTCGTGTGTTTGCCTCGCGACTTGTGTGTTCGACCATGGCGTCGAGCTCGGTCTGCGTGGGATCGCGTCGAAGCAGGCCGCGCACCATCTCCAGCTGTGTGGATATGCGGTACATGACTGTGCGTTCCCAGTTCCAGGGCCCAGCAAATCCTGCGTAGAGTAAGAGCGGGTTGGGCCGTTGGAGGTGTTCGCGGTTTATCTTGAGAGGGAATGCGGAGGCATATCGCGATTCGAGATCCGGGCTGTCCCAGGTTTCGGTGTCCTTGGACGGTTCGAGCGAGGTCGATGATGGCCCGTCAAGCACCATTTTGAGATAGTAGTTTTTTGGTATCTTGCCAGCGTTAAAAGGAGTAGGAACAGCACAGGGCTGGTTGGTAGAGGACATGCATGAGAAAGCCACCGGAGCTACTCTCCGCAGAAAAGAAACGTGACGTCGTCTGCTTAGTCATCGGCATATCAACTGACGACCGACCTAAGTTACCACCAGTAAGTATGTAAACAGTTGAGCATGTTTACGGAGTAGTTGTTATCCCTAGCTCAAATTCATATAAAATAGGGAAATGAAAGCATGTGATTATTACTCTGTATCAACGTAGCTGGATACATACTACCGCCGCGTCCGAAGAACTAATACCGACTGAAGACACAAACTGCAAGAACGAATGAAAGAGTCAATCAATTCACATAAGCTGTACGAAGGTGTGCAGAAACCTGGCTCAGATGCCAGCGTCCGTACGATATAGGTAGGTTGCTTGCCATTGAATGCGCCCTCGCGGGCTACACTGTAAGATTTCTCTTGAAGAAATAAACGTGAAAAGGCTGACTAGGACAAAACGAAGAACTTCCGGATAAAGCTATCAAAGTAGATTGTTTTTTTTTTTGTTTCACTGATGGAAGGAAGGAAGGCACACTCAAAAAAGCAAATAAATGACATACACACAAGTTGTGTGTATCAGAATCAAGAAAGAAAAGGCAAGAGAAGAAGAGAAGGAGGGAAGATTCATGCATGCCTGGGAATAAACTGGGATATAGTCGTACAGCATGTATAACAGCAGAGAGATCTGACTGAATAATGAGATTCGTAACGTCGTGCGCGCAATTGAATTAGATAATAATCATTGGTGGAAAAGAAGAAGAAAAAAAAAAAAAAAAAGCACAAAAACAAGCAATTTCAGGTTCAGGAGATGATCAAGCGGTCAAAGGCGTGCCAAAATTAAAAATCCCTTGGGATCTGCACACTCTCGTACGGGGAGACTGTATTCTTCTCGTCTGACGGTGAGGATTGCACACCAGGACCGCGACTGTTACTGCGCATTCGGCCTGTAAAGTTTTTGAATTTACTTGCGAAACTTTCGTTGATGCTACGACCACGCCGGTGATCAACTGACATTCTACGCAGGGACTGCGTGTCAGCATCAGTCGTCATTGGCCGTGCAAGTTCCCGGCCCGCCCGAGCGTTGTCCATGGCGGATTGATTCGACATAAATTCCCTTGACCTGGGTCCGACACCGGGAATAGGAGGCGGCGGTGGAGGCGTTGATAGATGCTGCAGCTCGGGGAGAATTGGCGGATTGGTTCTCGTGTTTTCCACCACCGTAATGTCATTTTCAATGTTGACAGATACCGTTGGTGGCGAGCCGTAAGATGGTAAACCATGCTCCCGAGAGTTCTCACGTCGGTGATTTAAGGGTCCTCGAGTCCTGCTGGTTGACCGACTTCGTGGGATGTTGGGAATGAATCTTGGATGATGAGGAAGATCGGCGGGAAGCGGAGCTTGTTGATATTCAGCTACTGGAACTGACATGGACCGGCTGATTCTTGCGGCTTCGGCCTGATATACCGTACTTGGAAGTGTCAGAGGGACTTCTGGCATGGCCGGCGCCTCCTCGTCGTGTCCCTCGCCGTATCTGGGACGCCGCATTGCCTTAGGAGTAGCTGGTAAACCAATCGTACCGGCACGGCCTCGAGTAGATGAGCCAGAGTCAGACCCATTCTGGAAGTCCGGCGATCGCTTGCTGGCGTTGCTCTTGGATCGGAACCGTCTGTCGAATGACTCGCCGGATGAAGGGGGGCTTTCAGGCAGATTACCCCCACCGGCAGAGACCATTGCAGCAGTCTGGAAATCTCCAGGCAGAGGAATCTTGGGAGCAGACGGGCGGCGTGCCAGAGATAGCCGACGCGCCTCAAGCTCAGCGGCTGCCAACTCTCTCTTGGCCCGTTCGTGCGCACTCAAAGCAATAGAATGATCGTTTGAGTACTCAGATTTTGAAGGCTCCTCAATAATTTCAGCTGTTGGGATGGAGTTCAAACTAATCTCTGGCCCAAAATTGGGCTCACGGGCCTTGCGACTGCTTGATCTAGCTCTGGCGCGCCTTTTGTCAGGGGAAGGGTCGCGCCTAACACTGCTAGCACCTCGATCCGGACGACGACTAGAACTTCGCTGTCGAGACCGGTGCAAGCGTTCCCGGTCACTAGTAACAAAACGCAGACTATCCTCAAATCCCCTCGCCTCATCAGCAGCAGGGGACATGGGCAAAGGTGATGTGGGAGACCGAATGCCAGACTTGTTCCTGTCATTACTGCGCCCTCGGCTGTGGCGACTGGTGCTGTTTCGACTTCTTGCTTGTTGCTTCCGGTCGATGCCTCTAGATGTCGACCGATGGCGGCGACCATGTGTAGATGAGTCGCGAACGCGCGAGCTGCCTTTGGCATGGCTCCTGCTACGGTATTTCGAAGCATCGGTGTCGAAGCTCTCAACGCTCGCATTATATTTCGCGAACTCTTCGGGGGACATTGGAACTGGCGAAGACGGTGAGCGCTTGGCCGGTGCAATGTAGCGATTGGTGGGTCGCCCTCGAGAATCTACAGAGCCATTCCTAGAACTCTTTTTGCGTTCGCTCCCACTAGCTTCTCCGTGATGCCGAGTCTTTGTGTGAGGGCGACGAACATGCTTAGCATAGTAATTAGCCTCTTCCAGGCTGCTGATATACTGATCAATGCTGCGACCGCTAACACTGGGGCTTTTCGTAGAACGGAAGCTTTGGAAAACCGAAGAAGGGGTTCCACCACCAGTGCCATCAGTGTATGGACCAGCTTCAGATTCAGAGGTGTCAACTGGCGGCCATTGAATATGAAGCCCCTCTGGTTTGCGGTCACGAGAACCATTCCTCACCAAACTCTGCTCCTTCAAGGTTTCGAAAACTCCTGCGGCAGGGGACGGAAGACCCTTGATGTCCTCGAACTTGTTTGCCACTGTCTGTACTGCTGTCTGCGGACTCGGGCCGTGACTGTCTTTCCCTGGTTCATAACGTGCCGACGTTAATAGTAGCACAGGTGGGTCATTATCTTTGCCGCCATGGTCGAAATCATCAATTCTGGATACTTTTTGTTTCCCCTTCTCGGAGCTTGAGTCAACCGGAGTAGGGAGAGATCTTGGTGGGAAGTTGGGAGGCTGCACATCTACTGGGGTTTCACCAATGGAAGGCAGTCTTTGTCGGTGTGCATGACTAGGTGTTCCCGCTCGAGCAGACATTGAATGATTGATGCTTCGCATGTTGTTGAGTCGATATGACCCAAGACCACCTGGGGACAACGCAGACTCTCCAACGGCTGATTCGGCAATGGGTGTAATGCCCGGGGCATTTGTAGGCGTGCGATCATCCGACTTGAGGCCGGGAAATTTGAATGCCTGGCTAGACTGGGGACCAAAAGAGGTTATTAGCTTAAGAGACGAGTTCTTCACAGTCATCCGATTGGCTGTATCGGGTTTCAAAAGGTCTGCTGGTTTTGATTGTGGCTCGGAAACAGGCGAAGAAACACGATAAGGCGTAGGCGACATCCACGGCTCAGATGGTTCAGCTCCTGTGCACATAAAACACCGAATTGCCAGCTGCTGTTGAGAGTTTGACACCACATGTTCGCCCCATCGGCGCACAAGATACGACTGTCGCTGCCAGTCAGTCGGCAGCAGAAGGCAGGTCATGAGAATGGCTTCCATATAATGATTTCGAGATACATAAACTTCAATTGCATCATTACGGTCTCCCAGAGCAAGAAGGATGGTTGCTGAAGCATGAATATCGCCAGTTTCTAGCAGTCGTTGCACAAAACTCTGGCCGACTTTATTCGCCTGTTCTTCGCCGCCCATCTGGCTAAGAGCTAGAAACATCCACGCAGAGGAACTGACAGGGCCTGAACTAAGCATGGCCATCATTTGCATCGGGTCTTGCTCACCTAACCAACGTGACAGAAATATGGCATTCGGGCTGGTGGGAGGATGTTGGTTTACTATACCGTGATGTTAGGCGCGATTTTTCAATAATTATAAAACAAATGTAAAAAGCAGACTTACACTCATCACGAATTAGGTCTTCGATATCCCCGTCCCATCCAAAGACAACTTGGAGCATCTGTCGCCGCAATGCATCGGGCGTCAAGCGAGATTCATCGAGTGGTTGCATTTGTTGAATATAGGTCACTTCATTAACTCGTTCCCTTGTAAAAGGGAAGAGGTCTTCCAGGGGTTCGTCAACGGGACTTCGTGTCACCTCGTTTCTCAGCCGTGAACCACCACGAGAACGAACAGAGGACACGGACGTAGAAGAGCCATACGCAATGGATGTGCCCGTTTGCGAAGGTAACCGACCAAGAGGTGAAGTCATGGAGAAAGTTGTGCCACTGTAGGTTGACTTGTTCAGAGGAGAGAAAGGACGGACCCGACCGGATGAAGCGTGCGAGCTGATCGAATTGGTGCGGCTACGACCTGACATAGGGCTGGTCGTGTTTGCCCGTTGTTGGCTTGCAATCTCATGAATCGATACCTCAGGACCTCGGAAACTCTGAACACTCCGTGCGCCACTTCCTCTCGAGAAATAACTTGGAGACATTGGCCTTATTTTGGGCTCTTCGACAACGGCGGCCACCTGGTCTATGGGAAGATGCCTGACATTCTTAACCATGGTGGAGTTATCCAAATCATACTGCTGGATGGTATTGTTGGGGCCAATGGTAAATAAAGTCGCGGTGGGGCCATAATTGGCCATACCAAGTACATCTTCAATCGTCGGGATAGTTGTATATGTCACATGTTTTGTTCTCACGTCCCAGACCCATGTTTCCCTAAAGCAAGTCAGTGGGCTGTTATACTCAATCCACCCAATGCCGATCAAACTGACCTGTCAGAGTATTGTACGATTCTGCCATTCTTGGACCAGGAAATCCACTTTGGTCCAGTGGAGTACGGTTCGGTTCGTTTCAATGCACGGATGACACGAGGAGATTCGTTCGAAGGTGCCTTTGCTACGCTCCAAACTCGGAGGTCGCCATCCATTGTTTGAGTTGCAAGCATGTCAGACTTCTGTTTCGACGAGGATGTATGCCAGGCGAGACAAGCTATGGGTGATGGACCTCTGGTAGTGGATAAAGTATGGAGGATTGTGAAGCTGGGATGCAATGTGGCTATCAAGATGGAGCCATTTTGATAGCTTGAGTATGAGTTAGCACAGGAATGGAATATGAGCAAAATGGGACAAGACCTACTTACCCAATTGCATAACTTCGACAGTCCGCAGCCGGGGCCAAAGAGGTTATAGGATCGAAGATGGTGCGAGCAGATAAGTGTTCTGAGGTTGCTGGTTCAAACATGATCACTTCGCCCTTTCCATTCCCTGGATTTTGTCAATACTTCAAGAATGATATTTGAGTGAGGGTTTGTTCAAGTTATTACCGAATGCTACATGTCCATTTCGCATCCATGCTGCCACTCTAAGAGGTTCGTATGAAGCGAAGCGTGATATCTCACTCCCAGTGAAGAGGTCCCAGACGATTGCTGTTTGAGCAAAATCATAGCTGACCACCAGTCGGCCGGCACCCCGTTCACTCACGTTGTCAACGCAAATGAATGCTATCCTATCTGAATGAAGTGAAAACCGGCGCTCCACTGCCAAGGTATCATGATGTAGGGAAAGAATGACAGAGCCTTGCGCAAATAGGAACAAAGATGCAGTGGCCGCACATGGCTGAAATTCAGAATCCCAAGTTGAATCCAAGGTCGGGATGGGGGGCGTTGGCTGCGCTGTGGATGGCACAGATCGATGCCACGACGATAGGTCGTCCATCTTGAGTCACGCACAAATAAAGCTAAATATCCATCAGTGTCATGACATTCTGTAAAACCGAGGCAGGCACAGGCTGCAAAGCGTATGTCTAACTGTGAAGAAGAAGTAACAGAAAAAGAGCAAGATGGATGGTGTGTTGGAAGAGAATGACACAATCAGACTAAGTTGGTTATACAGCAAACAAGACACAACGGTTTGTCTTTCCCATCTGAAAACTGGGGGATTACTCACCGTCGAGGTCTGGAATGATTCACACAGGTGAGTATCCGGTCAACCTGCCAGGCCTCCGATATCTGAACGACCGGGCGTGACAGAAGTTCCGCAACCACAGCATGCAGGAAGGCTTGTTCCAAGCAATGAGATGAGAAAGCTTTGTTCTATTTCCCCTCAAGTTGCCGACGACAAAGAATGGTGACTGCAACTAGACGCCGACAAGGGTGGTTTGCTTCTTTCTTTTTCTCCCCAAAAGAGGGTGTAAGAGTAAGTACAAAAGACAAAAGGACAAAATGCAACTTACATAGTGTGGAAACTCGGAAACAGACCCTGCTACAGAGGGGCAGGGGGGCAGGGGGCAGGAGATGCAGGGCGATGGGATGCAGGCACCGGGGAAAGGACCAACGGCATTATGCTAGCGTTGCAATAAAAGAGAAAAGGAAAAAAAAAAAAAAAGCGCTGAAGTGAAGGCCGATCCCGACTATAGGGTGACGGGGACCAGTCATCAAGCCATCACGGTGGGAGTGAATATCACTGGCATTGGGAGTTTCTGCCAACCACGGCTTTGCGTCGCGGGGTTGTCAGAGAGAGTGCATTGACTGGGCGACTAAGGGCTCGTGTAGAGTTGGGCCAATTTATGGCCAGCGCCAACGAGCGTGCGCGGTCGAAGATCCGCCGACTCGCCTCGTCTCGCAGGTGGAGACATTCCGGCTAAGCTTAACGGCTGGAGGATGTGATAGATTCTGCACAGATACTATAGCGAGAGAAACTAAAGTATCAGTACGGCAGAAGGACCACGAATCACCGTCCATCAGCCTTTGCATCGGATCGCAACCGAAATTGCCCTCCATGGCGCATGCCGTGCGTGAAAGCACCTCCTCCCTTTTGAGTAACGGACGGAGTGATTCTGTGATGGGAATAATAAGATTAAGCGATGGTCTGAGAGACGACGCCCAGCCGCTGTGATTTAAGATACGATACAATGCGTGCATTCGCTTCTGTTTTGCCAACTCCCTCGTCCGCTTGGGGTCTCGTCTGATGTCCTCTCTTCAGTAGTCAGTGTCCGTCCAGTGCTCGCAGTCACAGTCACAGTCGCAGTCACAATCACACTCAGACTCACCGCCGGAGATTGAGGGGCAGCCACGGCGCTTGGTTGGAGTGCGTGAGAGATCAAGGTGTCGATCTGGGCGATGGTTGGATCGAGCGAGTGACTGAAGGATGGAGGAGGGCGAGGTTTGCAGGAAGGCGCGCTGATTGGCCAATGTGGCTTCTTCACACTGCAGCCCTCATCACGCGGCGCGGGCCAATGGCAGCGCTGAAGAAGCGTGCCGGCTGCACAGGACCCCACAGCGCCCCACAAGCACCCCGGCTGCCGTCACCAGCCCCACCGCGCTAGCACAAGGCCCGGCGCGTACGGAAAGCGAGTCCTTCCCGATTCGCTTTTCTGTGGCTGTGCCATCACTCGCTCTTTCTTGCTGAGTGGCTCGAAATTAAATTATTCGTTCCAAGGCACAAAAAGCAATCAAGTGACGGAAGTAGATGCCCAATCAGTGCGGCCGCTGGTGTGACTGTTTCGAAAATCGCAGTGTGACAGCAGGGCATAGCGTCGCTTAGCCTGTCTTCAACTGAAGCCAATGAACATGGCCTGGTTGTACGAGGTGATGGGATATTCACCAACAAAGAAAAACAAAAAACAAAAAACAGAAGACGGACAGACAGATGTGACTAATGCAGTCGCTAAAGTAGGTAGCTTAGCTAGCTACCTAGCTACACACGGACTGCGTATATACACGCTGGAATAAGGACATGATCCGTAGATTTATTTCACTCCGGACTGGGAGACGGTCGAGGGCGGTGTGATGGAGGGTTACACGAATTTGATGCAGATGCCATATTCCCTTTTTCGGCAAGTCTCCGCCCGCCTTTATGATAAAAACTATAAATATATTTATATATTTATATCTCCCTATACTCCGTATACGTATCTATATATAGAATGAGATAAATCTAGGTAGCCAGATGTATACAGATAAGAAAATAAGTCTGTGCTGCTATACTCGGAAACCACCACAGGCTCTATTGCATGAATGCATCCTGAGCGCGGCGGGGAAATACATACAAGGATTACCGGAAGAATGCCGCATTGAGCTATGGGCGGAATTGAAACTACAGTCACACTGCATGGCGAGTCTGGCTACGCTTTTATTAAGTATCGCTATGTATGAATGGATTCGGGTGGAGAACTGGTCGCTGAAGAATTCTCCACTTGGTCAATCATTGCGGTCCTTCCCGTGCCCGGTGCCAGCGCTTTACCTAGGTATCCAATCTATAATTTTACATGTACCGTACTCTGTCTAGATTGATATTCGTAGCTTATTCCAGGCCGAGGATATCAACACGTGATAGTGCCTATATGTCGGGGAGCACGATAACTAGCAGGACTCCTCCCAGAACATCTGCCTACAACATAAATTCCCGCATGCACCTACTTAGGTATTGAGCTAAGTACCTAGGTCAGTCATGCAACCAGCCAATTGATCAATCCCGCCTGAAAATCTGCATTCAGCACTCAACTAAGTTCCAAAACATACTCATGGAAGTGCTCTTCTCCGCCATTCTGTGACAGCGAGTCATTTACCTGCCTTAGGAAAATAGATGTTAGTGACAAGTCTGACAATCACACCAGGGACGCATGCTCGAACTAGCTGAGCGCGAACATCTTCCAAGGACTGACGTTTGACTTGCTTTTGTATATTTTAGTATAATTCAATGCGCTATCTACCCGGATTGAGTACTACGTACTTTTAATCTGACTTGCACTCCAGAGTTGATGTGTGTGCGCGAGTAAAATCGAGATGGCTGGCAAGTCACTATTGCTGCGAGTGTACCAGTGATGTGATTCCCCGCACGACACATGCGCGGTGTTGTCATTGGCACTTTTTTTATTGTTTTTTTGCTTTTTTTCTCTCTTTCTCTTTATTCTCTCTATTTTCTTTGTTCTAAGCTCGTTTCTTTTTTTAGTCTTCATGCTAGCTTTTTTTTTTTTTTTTTCCCTTCTTGTCCTCACAGAGTACTCCGTACAGAGGACCGTGTTGCGGAAAGCATTAGATAAAAGAGCTATCTACAATCTATAGTAAATCTCTTATCATAGTGCCTCCATCAAACACATGTCATGGCCCAGTAAATAGCCGGATGGCCAGTCATTGGTGCGCGGAAATGATTATTTATAGTTATCTAGATGCAGATGCAAGGAAACGTGCCTTGCCAACTCTTGCCTGATGTGACCCTTCTCACTGATAAATGAGCACTATGGGTGCCATTACTGTGTATATACATAAAAGCAGGGTTTATTGTGCAACAATAGGTAGTGCATCAGCAAGCGCCAGGGAGAAGGAAAAAGTAATCTCCGTTCATACAATCAAGATTAGGGCTAAGAGCCTAATGGGGCAACTGGATAAACATCGGCCCGAATCTGATAGAGTCGAGCAGCATAACTTCAATTATTCGTTGTCAATAAAAACACATTGATACGATTGATTCAATTAGACCGAAGTCCAACAGTAGTGGGCATCTTCATTGGAATTAGTATTGACGACGGAAATTGCGTGCTATCCGTAAAAATGGAATGCCCGTTCCCCGCCACAGCCAACAGCGTCCATCACGTTTGGATAATTGAAGCAAAAGCACTTCGCCGGCTTAAAGCCCGATTCTATATGTAGAGCTAAGGACTGGTATCTAGTTAGTATGAAGCAAGCAGCATATCGGAACTACGCAAGGTCCCGCGGGGGCCTGCAACAATTGGGCGGATCAAGGTTCTAGTTTGATAGGGCTTCGGCGGGACGAGAGATGGTGCAATTTTTAGATTTATTTTATTTTTATTTTTTTTTTCAACGTAGAAATCTTTATCATCTTATGCCAACTGCTAAACATAGACGAAGAGCAAATATTTCGCAATGGCCGAAGCAATTGACACTGGTAAACATGCCCTTTCCCCTCCATTGCCAGTCCATGGACCTAAAAAACTCTACAGGCTTCTATTTTACATCGGTCAGACATACCGACACATATCCCACAATCAATCCATCACAGCAGGACCTGCACAACAAATATGTTTTCATAACCGGCGCCTCCAAAGGGATCGGGCGCGAGACAGCATTATCATATGCGCAAGCGGGCTGTGCGGGCATCGGAATTGGCGCTCGAACAGATCTTTCCAGTCTAATCCCGCTCCTAGAACAGGCAGCACAAAGCGCCGGGAAAGCCGCTCCCAAAGTGAAAGCGGTTACATTGGATGTGACCGACGAAGCCAGCGTGGCGGAGGCGGCAGCATCAATTGCTGAGGTCTTCCCAAGGGTGGACATTCTCATCAACAACGCCGGATATCTCGAGAAACGAGCCAAAATCGCCGAAAGTGACCCAAGCGAGTGGTGGAAGAGTTGGGATGTGAATGTTAAGGGCCCTTACCTGGTGACGCGCGCGTTCTTACCGCAAATGCTGGAGCGCGGAGGAGAAAAGATCATTGTCAACCTCTGCAGCATCGCAGCCCATCTGCGGTCGCCGGGTGGCTCAGCGTATCAGACTAGCAAGTTGGCAGTGTTGCGGCTTACGGAGTTTCTTGACGTCGATCATGGTCCGGATGGTATCTTGACGTTTGCTATTCATCCGGGGGGTGTCTTGACGGATATGGGGAGAAGGCTTCCTTTGGAGCGGCAGCCGGCTTTGACTGAAAGCCCTCGGTTATGCGCCGATAGCCTGGTCTTCTTGACCAGGGAGAGGCGAGAGTGGTTGGCCGGGCGATATGTGTCTGCGACTTGGGATGTGGAGGAGCTGATTAGCAAGAGGGAAGATATTGTCGCAAGGGACCTCTTGAAGGTGAGAATGCTGGTTTGAGTGCCTTTATCTACGAAGTACGGATACTATTTACTACTTAGACATGGTTACCCTTCTCTATTTGTTTTTGATCTGATCTTCAATCTATAATCAATTCTGTAGAACGTTGTCAATTGTATGGATAAGCAACGCTCAATCTTTTCCAGCCCTAGACGCCCAGAACGACTAAGTTACGAGTCCCCTATCGATAGGACACCTAAAAATGCAAATTTATCGGAGATAATAATAATATTGCAAATCGTTGGCGAAATATTCCGTTCCTCACGCAAAAGACGCCGTATTACTCGCGAACTGGGGCTAAGATAACGAAGACCCCTATCGAAGGAAGACCCCGGCCACCCCCGCAGCAATGGAAAGAATAAGGCCGAATATTTTCATTCTATTGCATGAAATCCAATTGAAGATCTTTGTGAAAACGTCTAAACAATCGATTCAATTGTTCTACTACTCTGTGATGAGAGTCCGGTATAAACGAGTTGCCATTGTAGGCGCAGGTCCCTCCGGGCTGGCCGCCGTTCGAGCATTAGCCCAAGAAAATTGCTTCGAGTACATCCGGATATTCGAACGATCAGACCGAGTGGGAGGTCTATGGTATGGAAGATTCCATCACAACTTGTAAACTTGCTAATCGGGACCGTAGGGCGTTCGACCCCGTACCAGATGCATTCCAACCCCGATATACAGAAGCCGAAATGCCCTGCGCAGTGCCAGAGGAGCTACCATGTGTTGCTTCTCCGCTCGCAGAACGAGCTGGCTTGCATGGATCTATCTACGAGCATATGGACACCAATGCTGGCGCGGCAACCATGGCGTTTACCGACCGGCCCATTCCATTTGCAAACTCAGAGAATTCGGAGAAGCTGTTTGGTAAGGACAACTCTTCTCGTCCCAGAAGTGCCATTGTCGCCTATTTGGAGACTCTTTTTGTGCCGTATCTTCATTATGTTTCTTTCAATACCACGGTTGAGAAGGTCGACAAGGTTGGGGGCGAGTGGGTGGTCACGCTGAGACGTTCCGATATCTTCCATAGAGGCGAAAAAGTCGACTACTGGTGGCAGGAACAATTTGATGCTGTCATTGTTGCTTCAGGGCATCATACAATTCCCTTTATTCCGTCGATTCAGGGACTCGAAGAGAGTTGTGCAAAGGTCCCTGAGAAATTCGAGCATTCCAAGTCATGGAGATCAGCAGAGGATTGTAACGATAAAGTATGGCATATAAAAGAAAACTTCAGTATTTATAAATAGTAGAAAGAAGCTAACCTATCTGAATGAATAACAGAAAGTCATCATAGTCGGAAACAACGTTTCTGCTGCGGACATGGTCGACGCCATGTATACCAATGTTAAAGCACCACTTTACGTCTCGCAGCGCACACCCAACACGTTCTTCGACAATGCATGGAAGCTTCCCAACGTCCAGTCAGTGCCACGGGTTACGCATATTACTCCTGGCGATGGCGGAGTGGTTCACTTTGCAGACGGAAGTACTGTGACAGATTTCGACAAAATCATATTTGCTACGGGCTACAAGCTCTCTTATCCTTTCCTCCCGTTCAAGGCTGTCACGCCGCAAAACCGGTTATCTGGATTCTACCAGCACATTTTTAACATGGAAGATCCCTCCCTGGCAGTCGTCGGTCAGGTTTGTCTCCCCTTCCGCCCCCCCCCCCAAAAGTCAATTTATAGAGTAGACTATTGACTGCTGTTCTCTTTTTTCTTCTAGATACGAGCTGCAATTACTTTCCGTGTCTTTCAATACCAATCTACCGCCGTCGCATGCTTTTTTGCCGGTCGTTCTAAACCGCTGCCGGACGTGTCTGAGCAATACCGTTGGGAGCGGGAGAGGCTAGCGTACAAGGGACCTACGGAACTGTTCCATGAGATCAAGCCAGACTTTGTCGATTATTATGGATGGCTGAGGGAGTTCGCAGGTATGTCCACCGAACAGGCCGCAGGTGAACTACCGCCATTTCAGGAAGGATGGCTGGAGAGTGATCTGGGGATTCTGTTTGAAAAGTCTGCTTACTGGGGAAGGGTGATAGCAGCAAAATAATCCCGTTTCTTCCTTCATTTTACTTTGTAATGTGTATATATATACATGTGTAAGAGGTTCGCCCGCGATTCCAGCAGAATAAAAAGACGGCCTTGGAAAATGGATAGATCCTGCACGGTATCTTGAAGAAAAGATACAATACAGTCCCAGCGTGGCTTTTCTAGCACACTTAAAAGGTTCCTATCAGATATTTCGACGAACCAGTCTCGTGAAGTCGGTTAATAAAAATGTGACTAACATTCCTCTGCCGCCCGCCTACCTGATGTTATCTAAAGTCTAGTCTATAGGTCGATATCTCATGCTCATCTAGCACATACGATCATAGGGTGTGGAATATAGGGCTTCCCGTCCGCTCAGCCGTACTCAAACCACTCGCCGGCCAGTCAGTAGCTGGGTGGGTGACCACCAGCGAATCCTGGCTATTGTATGTTTTTCTTTTTTTTTCCCTTCCCCCTTCCTTTCCATTATTTTACTTTTAATCTTGGGGGGTTGTATTCTGAATCTTTATTAACCATGACTAGAACAGTAAATACGGTACTTTTTAAATCTAAAAAGGACAATTACAACGATTAATTCAGGCAATACATCGAAAATAAAATCGCGTTATAAGACAGTCAAATCATACCCAATGGAAAGTAGTCAATTTAGTGAGGGGCATACTAGAGTGACCAACGGAAACCAACCTCGACAGAATAACGCATACAATGGATCACAATTTTGGGGACGTTCAAGCTTCTGAGGTCGTATTCTCAAAATCTCTCTTTCACAATGAGCACTCGGAAGTGTTCCTCGTGCAGATTCGCGGCATAACATGTGTCATGAAAGTGGTGAGTTGTCGTTGCGCACGCTCATCGATTTGGACTTTGTCTTTCCATATCTACACAGCACCGTGATAAAGGCCCTCCCTAATTTCCCGTAGAGCGTCAAACAGGCATTCATAATTGTGAGGTGAGAGCCTACCGCCGACTGATGCAAAATGGCCTCGGTCACCAGGGCATCGTGCCCCGGTACTACCGCGAAATACAGCACTTGGATGTGAAAGATTATCAACCACATTTGAGAAGATTTCTTGATGAAGAGCGACCTCCTAGCGCTATTTTTCTGGAGTACATTCCAAATATGATGACGATCCTTCCGGAGCGTTATACCAAAGAGCGCATCGAATCCATGATACATGGCATTCAACAAATTCACAAGGCCTTGGTCCTGCATTTTGATTCTTACCCAAGGAACATCATGGTTTTTGAAGATGATCCTGGGAGAGTCATTTGGATAGACTTTGACAGGGCCCAGACCTATGATGCAGATACAATCACAGAGAGGAATAGAAGATGGATCCAAGAGGAAGAGGAAGACGTGCATGTATTCGGTGAAAGTATGGTGAGTTCTGTGCCTCCTATGATTGCTTATGCATCTCATTTGCTTTCGCTATTATCACCCTACGGAATAACTAAGATGCGTCATGGCATGCTGAGGTATGAAGGTCACTGAAACCAGAAAAATGTCGTTAACTCGGTATTTACAGAAAGAGGATCATGCGCTGGGCAAAATGTGGAACACTCTCCCATACTACTAGGGATGAGACATGACGAGACGAGAGCAAGCAATGGAATATGACGGATGGTAGCAGCTGGCCAAAGCGAAGAAAAGGGTGGGGGGAAGCAATGTACACTCAACTTTGGGGAAGGATAAGCTTGTCGAGGGCGTGACTTTGAATTTGTTGGCTGTGTGATATCGTGACGAGAGCATAATAAACACTCTATATAAATTCAGGACATCCATAGTCCGTAATAAGAGTTTCAAGATTCTGATACTTAGGTCTCCTTGATCAACAATGCATGGAGCGAAAACAATATTATTACTGGTGCTTACAACGGCCCGAAAAGTTCAAACCAAGGTGCTACCGCAAGACGCTTCTTGGCCCTCAAGAAGTGAAAGCCTCAGAAGACAACCCATCAAACGAATGCTCCAGACAGGCCAAGGATAACCTATAGGGCATATACAAGTGACATCTCCAAGCGAAATACACCTGGCAAGAACATTCAGTAGGATTGTCTTCCTAGCTTCGGAACTATTAGGGTCGTCACAAGTACTTTGTTCAGTATCGCAACTATCAACATTGGTATTTACTGTTTACCATATACTAGCTCAGAATCAAAAGAAAATAAAAAATAAAAGTAAATTACTTCTTAGGGTTGGCCAGGGGGTTCTTCTGATGGACAATCGGCGTCTAAACTGGGGCCATTGCTTATCGATTAGGGCTTCGCTATCTAGTTTCCGTAACATTTAAGAGGTTTATACCGGACTTTTTTTTTTGTTTAAGGATAAACAAATCCTCTATGTATATACGATGGTGACAGCCGAAAATACATCCTCAATGCTCGAAGTAGCAATCACTGGACAGGGCCATCGCAGGGCTTATTACGGGTATTGCTCTTCGACGACATGCCAGATAAATGCCACCTTTTATGAGCGTGCTAAGCAATGTCGAGAGAGATCGGGGTGAGCATTGGACCCGGTCCCAGTGGGCTTCGCACGCTCGAGAAACCTGGCATGGAGATTACGTTGGACCTGGATGTCTTCACTCGAAAGTAGTCAGATTGGCCCATGATTTATAGACATTGAGAGGTTATTGATCACGACCTGTACCGGACGGTCAAGACAAAGAAGCATTTTACAGCGTGATATCACCGGGCACATCTTCACGAAACCCTGCTGGGCAATCTCGCGCAGAGTATTGTGCATCTGGATAAAAAGACTGTAGATATCAAAGCCAGTTCAGAATTACCAGTCACGATTTTCTTCGGTGATGGCACAGCCGCCATCGCAGATATCTGTCTCGGGGCGGTCGATCTACACTCGGTGAGTCTAGCCATCAACCACTGTGTCAAAGTAGAGCCTCACCTAATTGATTCTTAGAACACCACATGGAGACTTTGCCCTAATCACTCCCTGCACTGGACAGGATGGGTGGCATTCCGCTCCGCTTTTGACGCAAAGGTCGGTTCAGCACATTGATTTCCCGCAGGATGCCACACACTGGGTATGTCGAAGTACTGGTATTCGTAATATTACATAGGCTCATTCTCTCCTCAGGTCAGCCATAATCGCGACTTCTTTCACTCTTACCTAGGTATGACTGCCTCTCCCCGCCCTTTTCGTCTCATATTCCTGACAGTCACTGCTACTAGGGAGAGGTCAATTCACCACCGTAGGTGGAAAGCCTCTAAAAATAAAGTACGTTACCAGAAGATCCAGGAGCTGGCACCTCGTAATCGTAGTAATCTACTGCATACTGGTCAAGAATTGAGCAGTTGGCAGTCAATGTTTAGGACCGAATTCGTATCACCTTGCCACACTAGGATGGCGGGCCTCATAATCTTCAATGTACAACGTACGTGCCATACACTCCCACATGGAATCATATACTCTGCACCGCTCCAGGCAAGCAGTAACTATGGCAGGCAAAGACCTAGCAATGAACTAGGAGCAAAGGAGTAGTTAGGGCTCGGCGATGCTGTTGCCGGGAAATATTTCCATTTCCGGGGTTAGTGACATCATAGCTAGTCGCGTCGCGTCAAACATCAACTCCAACACCTCTGCCAAAATATTGTATATAACCACCACATATACCAATCATGTCCAAAAGACCTCTTGATGCATTCTTCACATCCTCAACATCGTCATCTAAAAAGTTGAAGGAAAGTACAGCATCAGAACCGAGAACAACGGAAAGGAATGATGACATCGACGACGGCAAAGCTCCCAATGAAAACGCACAGAAACATCCATCGTACCCCTTCCCAATTGCACAGCTCCCTTCACGCATATCTGTTGGCTTGGAATTTGCAACGCCTGGTCGACAAGCTAGAACTATCGCAAATCAACCGCATCTGGATCTTCTCTACTACGAGCCATACATTCCTCAGCCCACCGCAAAACAATATTTCCAGTTCCTCCGGAGCGAACTGCCGTTTTATCGAGTGAAATACACAATGAAACGAGGCCCCACGGAAACCCTGATTAGTACACCGCGGTTCACGACTGTATTCGGCGTGGATATCACATCCTATTTCTCCGCGGCAGAAAACCAGGATGATCACGAATATAGAAAGCTATTAGATAGTAAAACGCATCAACCAATTGCCAAGGACAAATATAAATGCACACCACGCCCAATACCGGCTTGTTTGGATCTGCTGCGTAAACAAGTCGAAGCGGCCCTGGACGATGGCACAAGCTACAACTTTGTGCTGGTAAACTACTACGCGTCCGGCGACGATAGCATCTCCTATCACTCTGATGACGAGCGGTTTCTCGGGACGAATCCGAGTATTGCGAGTCTGACATTGGGTGCAAAAAGGGATTTCTTGATGAAGCATAAGAGTGCTGCTGCTGGAGCGGTCGTGGAGAAGCCACTCAAATTGCCGCTTGCCTCTGGTGATATGATTGTTATGAGAGGAGAGACTCAATCGAATTGGTTGCATTCTGTCCCAAAACGGAAGGGGGGAGAAGCCGGTAGCGGACGGATCAATATCACGCTTAGAAAGGCCGTTGTGCCTGGAGGGACGGAGAATTACTACAGGTATAATGTTGGCGATGGAGGCATTTATCGATGGGACAATGGCAAAAAGGAGATGCTTCTAGCTGATTGAACGGGGCTAATCTGTGAGTGCGTATATCTAAGCAGATAAGTACCTTCCAAGGTACCAGAGATCTACAGCGCCAATTCAGGCAGGGGTTCAAGTTTTTCATCTGGAGGCTCCTCTTTTCTCTTCTGATGTATAGTTATTTGATTGATTGATTGGTTGGTTGACTAACTACATGGATTTTAGATTACCAATGTAGCCGAGATAAATGTTGTGAAAAGACTAATAACCACAATGGGGATTATAGGTTGGAGACATGGAATGATGGGATAACAAGCCCGCTCAATAAAGCTCTCTGACAAATAGAAGAAGAACACAAGCAGCTCCCCAGGTGCATAAGGCTAGCACACAGTCTCATTGCAGATATCCCTTTAGGTTATAGCATCTACTTGTATAGCAGGAACTAACTATAAGCAGTCCCCGACATAGGTCGCATAAGAGCTGTGTTGCCATGGATTTGTTTTCTTCTCGTTTTGGCCTTGTATATTTGTAGTTCTTGCATCCCTCGAGTCGACGAGAGCGAATAAATGGAACATTATACGGAAAAAAAAAAGCCATCACAAAGTAGGTTAGGGCTAATTCTGTAGATGGATTAGCGCCAGGCAAACACGAGGCAGGCGCATCGCGACTTCCCTCCGTGAGTCATCGGGGAAACTCTGACTTCGCCTCTTTCTTCCCCTCTTACTCTTCACTTCAACGAGCATACTTCTACCGCATGTGCCGGTTCAAATGAGACGAACCGCAATTCTACGATGCCGGGCCACTACGCATATACTACTGGTTATGTGCAAACCACATCTCACATACTGTGTCTGCAGTACGGCAGTCAACCCGAAATGCTATGCATTCAACTGAAATTGATGTGAGACCATGATATACATGGGGTTTCTATTGCTGTTTTCACGGTAACATCTCGCGATTAAGGGACATCGTTAGCAGCAGAGACCATATCATGCTCGCCACCCTGAGCTATCAACCCCTTTCTCGAAGCTTTGTTGCCGTCGCTGAACTGGCTCGGATCAGGCTGAGGATTTCCTGCTTGATCCATATGAAGCTCCAAGGTTGACTCGGGTCCCCATGCTGTTGCGTTCGCTGCCATCTCCGGGTTGGAAACAGCGTTCTCACGCATTCTGTCCGCCCACTTGCGGTCTTGCGTTACATTTCGTAATCGGCGCTTCTGGTCACCAGCCTCAGGATAGCGAATCGCAGTATCGGTCTTGGAAGATGGCATTTTTGTTGTCTTCTTCTTTCTTGGTGTTACCTTTCCTCAAATGGACAGAGGGTTCCGAGTAACTGAAATGACAGGAGTGAGTTCTCTGATAATTCCAAAAGAAATCTGGATGAAGACGAAAAGCTGCTACAAGCTAAAACTGACCACTGGCCGAACAATATTTATGTATTCGAGCCAGTGGCAGTGGCGGGTGATACAAGAATGACGGGATCCTGCTATCATCAATGATACAGCATAAAAACGCCTCTATAATTATATAATCCTGATGAATTGCGGTTGAAATGCCAATTGGTCAATGCCCAGCAGCTAAGCCTATCAGTGCTAGAACAGTGCATATTGACGAGAGGTATGCCTACCTGTCAAACATTGATGCTTGGGTGTTTGGCACCTGTTTTGGGGGGAAGTGTTGCTCGAGTGTTGGAAAAATTAATTTAATGAAGTATTTATCAGACGGAACTAATATCTAATCAAGGCACTTCTCCACACGGGAGGCAACCTACGGTCCTACGGGGATTAGGTTCAGCCAGGATTCTTACTTCCCCATTGACAGGGTTCTCTCGCGCAATTGTGGGTACAAGTGTTCTGATAACGACTTCCCAATTTTCGCTGAGCATGCGGGAGAATGACACTACTCCCTATTAGTTAGGTGATTGACTCCTGCGCCGACAATATGCGAGTCAAATTCGAGGGCCAAGAAAATATATTGACTCTAGGTAGCAGTTAGGTGCACCACGGCCATGATAAGAGGCAAGATAAACCACGCTGTTGGCCGGCTGGGTAGCTTCGCAAAACACTGCATGGGCTTCGCTTTCATTTCGGCCTCCTCTTACTTACGCAATGTCTTCTTTGGAGACCTATTAATTGAATCGAGCTCGCAATAACAAACCCACCGTCAATCCAGAGGCACGCCAGCCGGTATGCATCTAGACTAGGGAATCCTGAAGGCTGAGAGACAGCAAAATTTGATAAGCGCCTTAGGACCCGCATGCCGACCCCTAACGTTGCATCTCGTTGCTAGTCAGTGTCGCGTTCGCTGCCAGCCACTCACATCGCACGGCAAACATGCGAATCTTGAAGTCGCGTGAGAATGGTCGAGCTCAGCCAATTGCTGTGGCTGCATTTCCTGCTTAGCTTCGCTAATCCTTTGTGCTTCTCCCCATCATACGGCATACGCCATGGACGTCCCCTTCGACGCAAGGAAATAATTTATGAAAGCCCAGTTGTGTTTTCTCCACTCTGCTTTGTACAGCATGGTCTGAGCATACCTTCTTTTTTCATTCTGGAAAGCCAATCATGTGGCATTCGCAGTGAATTGCTTGATGCCTCCAGCAAGATAAGCCATCCCATCATCCTACATACGCATTTCCCCTCGAGGTGGCGACGGTGAGAGGCTGCGTCGTCCGGTGCAACCCAACGTGCCTTGGTTATCCGAAGACCTAAGATCTTACTAAAAACACGGCTTACTCCGAACAAAGCACGTTTTATTCTGGTCCGTTTGCCTCTTGTCTTAGTAGCCTCTCCTATATCCCACTTGGAATAACGTGCTTTGTCGTCTAGTGACTTTTATGGTTCCAGCCAAGAGATAACATAGACAAGCAAGCACAGACGAGACTTTTAGTCCATGCAACAACAGATCGCAGATTGCCGCAACTTGGCAGGTAGATAAACAGCTACCTCCTGCCCACTCGGCCCATTTCCAGACTGCCTTGTCCCCTCGCCCATCAGTAAGCTCTCTGTTGAAACGGCAACTTTTTCTAGTTTAGGAGACTTCACTGCCTTTCAAGATGGGTGAGTTCTCTGTTGTTGATGAAAGTTCAGTTGGTGAAGCCAGGACTGATTTCGAGCAGTCACCAGCACAGGCGACAACATCGTTGCCGATATGATTGCCTCTCGCCCCCCCGAAGAGGTAGTCGAGCATATCGCTGCTCGGGACTCGATCCAGATCACTCACAAGGCAGATGCAGAAGTTTCTGCGCCCTCTAGCGACGACGATGAATTTCCTTCCCCTACCGAAGAGGAACTGTCGTCACTACGGAAAGTCCCTGGTGACCTGTCAACCATAGCTTTTGCTCTATGTCTCGTGGAGTTTGCTGAACGTGCTTCGTACTATGGTGCTTCAACGGTCTTCTCCAACTTCGTTGAGTTCCCTCTCCCGGCAGGTACGACATATCCATAATCTGTTTTCTGGACTTCAACACTAATTCCGTGAACCCAAAATTAAAAGGTGGGAATGGAGCTGGTGCACCTCCAAAAGGTACCCAAGAGACTGCTGGTGCCTTGGGCATGGGTCTTCAAGCCTCCTCAGCTCTTGTCCTCCTCTTCCAGTTCCTTGCCTATCTTGTTCCTATCTTCGGTGGATGGTGGGCTGATGTCAAAGTCGGTCGATACTATGCTATTATCGTTGGTGTCATTATTTGCGGCATTGCACACATCATACAGATCATTGGCGCAATTCCTTCCGTCCTTCAAAAGGGAGCATCTAACGCAGCACCCCCATTTATCCTCGGGTTGCTTATTTTGGCTTTTGGTGCTGGAATATTCAAGCCGAACGTTGCACCTACTATTCTCGACCAGCAAATGAACCACAAGGAGCATGTGAAGACATTGAAAAGCGGTGAAAAGGTTGTGCTTTCCTTTTTGTCTCTTATTCAGTAGACACATTGGCTAAACGAGCAAAAATCTCTTACAGGTCATTGTATCGCCCGAACTCACTGCAACTCGTACCATGCTCATCTTCTATGGCTCGGTCAACGTCGGAGCATTCTATGAGCTTGCCACCACCTACGCTGAGAAGGATGTGGGTTATTGGTTGGCATTCTTGATTTCAGGTATCATATACTTTCTTCTGCCACTTCTTTTGTGGGCCATGTACAAGCGTACCAAGAAGGTACCTCCATCGGGTTCGGAGCTCACTAGTTCGATTAAGATCATGGGTACTGCTCTTAAGAACAGCAAGTTTCGAGTCTGGAGGAAGGATTTCTGGGATTCGGCCAAGCCTTCAGTGCTGGCTGAGCGCGGTATCACAGTCAGCTGGAGTGACCAACTAGTTGACGATGTCAGACGAACCGTGGATGCGTGTCACATCTTTTTCTTCTTCCCCATCTACAACCTGAACGATGGTGGTATCGGCTCTGTACCGACCAACCAGGCTGCTGCTATGGTTACCAATGGAGCCCCCAACGACCTGCTCAACAACTTTAATCCACTGACTATCATCGTCTTTGTGCCTATCCTCAGTTATATCATTTACCCTCTGCTTCACCGATTCAAGATCAAACCGGGACCCATCGACCGAATCACCATTGGTTTCTTTTTCGCCGCTCTCTCCGGTGCCGCTGGTGCTATCGTTCAGTATTATGTGTACAAGACTTCTCCATGTGGACACTACGCTTCAACCTGCGACGAGGTTTCACCAATCTCCGTCTGGTGGCAGATCCCTAACAATGTGCTCAGTGCTATTTCAGAGTGCTTCGCCAATGTCACTGCCTACGAGCTTGCATATTCGCGAGCACCTCCAGCTATGAGAAGTCTTGTTATGGCTATCTTCTTGTTTATGACCGCTCTGTCATCTGCATTGGGAGAGATCCTACTTCCAGTCCAGGTTGACCCCTACTTGGTAAGATATCTTCTACTCCATATATTCCCTTATAGAAACAAAACTGTTTACGATTGACTAACGCGTAAAATAGATTTGGCTGTGGGCAGGACCTGCCATTGTCCTCGCTGTTCAAACCATATGGTTCTACTATTTGTTCTACCCTCTTAACAAAGAGGAATTCCTGACCAGGACAGCCGATGACCTTTACAGCACGGGCGAGAAGTCTGAAACAGAACCCGATGTTGAAAGAACTGTCGAGGAGACCAAAGTCTAGGCAGTTGATCTGGTCAGTCTTGATATAACCTTCAAGGTTTTGGTTAGAGGAGAGCTATCATTAGTGATCTACGCGATTGAGGATGCATCGGATCCATGTGGTTATGATAAGCGTCGCGTTAGTTGCGTTCAAAAGATGATTCTTCCCTGCAAATAATATATCATTTAATTATGCAGATTCAATTTGCTTCAATGTCTTTGTTTTGTAACACATGGCGACGTCCCTGATGGCGAGGTGGCGGCATCTCTGGGGGCGTAGACTTTATTACGTGCACTTACCTAGACACGTAGGTAATACTTTGGTATGGTGGAAGTCCAACCATGTAGGTAGGTACTGACTACATTTGTTTTGCTCCATTGCCCACGTTATTGATGCTATTTCTTTTGGGTAACGCACAGCCATAGCCCCTAACATGTCTATGCCGTTATCTACGGAGAAGAGTCGATATGTGAGATATGTGCAGCGAAGACGAAAAAAATTGAAAATCAGATGTTTATTCTGGCCAGAGATCAATCATCTATAGCACTAATTTGAGAGGCGCCTTCAGCTGCAAATCACGCGAAGAGCTCCCAACATATACAGTTTTTGTATAATTTGTTACAACCCAATTCTGAGACACCACGTCCCAGTTTGAGACATCCCTCCTGGTCAGCGCCACTTTGAACTGCTTCGTTTCTTGGGGGTAGAACGAGATACGATCGAAGCCACGTAGGACAACTTTCGGATCATCGGGGCCACCAAGGGATACGTACTGGTTGCACAAGAGGATCTTTCTTAGTAACGAACGTGTTTGAGACCAGTTAGAAGAAGGAAAAAGAAGTACTTACGAGCTGAGGCACCTCGTCGCCCGACACAGACCCGGTATTAGTGATATTCGCCGTGACAATGGCTACCTCGTCATAGAGACCTGGGTTTCCTCCCGGTGCCCCCCCTGCCGGGTGCAAGGGCTGCGCAGCACCGGAGGTAGCATTCGGGGGCAGATATTTGTCTGCCGCCATCCCATAATCAGGATCAGCTGATGCACGCGCTGGATCGGTGGTGTTCAGCCATGGGTAGAGGAACAGTGGGATTCGCAGGATACCCGTGGGGAAGAGATAATCCGACCAGTTCTTGCTGTAATTCCCAGCTGTTGCCGGCGCAGGACTAGTAAATCCTGTCGTTGGCTTGTATGGGTCTGCGTGAACACTCTCAACATGCAAGTCTGAGTACTCGAAGGTTGTATAGCTGAGTCCGAACCCGAATTCGTACACTGGGGTTATATTCACTTTGTCAAAGCCACGGTAGTCGATGAATATGCCTTCCGTGAAGTCGATTTGCGGCGCATGGATGCCATTGTTAGGGGTGTATAGAACGTCGGTGCTGTAATCAGTGCGACTTTTCCCCCATGTAAATGGGGTTTTGCCACCGGGGTTGACGCGGCCGTACAGGATATCTGCGATGGAATTGCCAGTCTCTTGGCCGGGCATGCCTGCCCAGAGTATTGCGGTGACATTGGGGTTCTCGTACCAATCGCCAACCAGGACGGGGCCACCGCTATGGATAACCACAATGGTGTTGTTGTTTTCCGCAGCGACGTTGCGGATAAGCTCGTCGCCGTCTTTCCAGAGGGTCAAGTTGTTACGGTCTCCTTCGTTGCCGTCAACTGAGATGAAATTCTCGCCGGAGTCGGAGTTGACGAAAACAAGAGACACGTCGGCTTGAGAGGCCAGGGCTTGGATTTTGTCGTAAGCCCAGTCATCCGTGACGGAGTCGACGATACCAGCGCCTTTGGACAGAATCTCCTCTTTGATAGCCTCTTCGGGAGTCACGAGGTATGGGAAACTGCTCGTACCACTTCCCCAGCCGCTGGCGAGAGTGCCATTGTCACAGCCATGATCACCACAGCCATTTGCACCGAGGGGATCCGCACGGGCGTCTGATCCAAAGATTGCGGTGAAATTCTCCAATCCGGTGAGAGGAAGCACACCTGCTGCGTTCTTTAGGAGAACGGTGCTGGCGGCTCCAATGCCACGGATCAGTGCAGCATGATTGCCGCGTACATCAACACGCTCGTTGACACGGCCAACACCGTACTCGGGTCCAACAACTGCATGTATGGGACCATATGTATCGCGAGTCCATGAGTTGAAGTTCACAGGTACCTGATGACGATCACGGCCTACCTTGTAGAAGGCGGCCATGATGCGAATGGCCATGTCGTCGAGGCGGTAGCTAGGAACTGTTCCGTTCACCACGGAGATGGTCAGATTCGTTCCCCAGTAGGAATCACCTGTATCGAACGCAGTGTCACCGGGCATGGACATGTCCAATCCAGCCAAGGTACTGCTCACTCCAGAAGTGTGGGCTCCCCAATCGCTCATCACGAATCCCTGGAAATCGAGTTCCCCCTTCAGCAGGTTGTTCAACGTGTAGCTATTCGCGCATGCATAGCTGTTGTTGACTTGATTGTACGAACACATGACAGAGCCCACTCCGGCGCGCACAGCATCGGCGAACGGCCTTGCAGAAAAGAAGGAAGAAGATTAGTTGATTGCGATCCATTCAACACAGACAGAAATGATTGCACATACCATAAGTACAACTCGTGCAACGTCTTGTCGTCAATGTTACTGCTTGCACTAGCAGAAATATTATAGCCGTAACCCTTCGCTTCGCCCACCAGTCGAAAATGCTCTTGTTCGTTGAGAATGTAATGCTTCGCGCACGCAATCACACCCGCATCCTGTATTCCCTTGATCGTTTCGGCCATGAGCACACCGGTGAGCATGGGATCAGGGCTGAATCCTTCCCAGTTCCGGCCGCCCTCTGGCGTTCGACCCAAGGGGCCAGCTACGGGGCCAAGTTGGATATCGGCGCCTTTGGCACCAAATTCTTTGCCCATTGCCTGCCCGCGGAGATGGGCAAGTGATCGGTCCCAGGTTGCGGCGACATTGACGCCGGCTGGGAAGACGGAATTATAGTCACCTTGAAAAATGATGATGATCAGCTTGTGGATTATCTTTGTTCTGAATTGTGGAAGAAATACTTACTAAATCTCACGCCTAACGGACCATCTTGCAGACACAGTCCGCGAAACCCGAGACGTGGAATGGAGCCTGTTTCCCCGACACATGCGCCTTCCATCCACCTTGAAGCAGACAGTCAGTTTGGATTTTCCTCTTCTTGATCAAAAGCACAGGAGGTATTGATTACCCGGTTCCAGTAGTCAAATTGACCTTTTCCGCAAGAGTCAGCTTGCTTACAAAATCTCTGGCTTTTTCGTATGCATCTGCCCAGTCTCCTTTTCCCTCGCCCCATGGAGAGGGATAGGATGGAGGAGAGTATGCTTCACCATCCTGCCTTGTATCAGATAGGTATATAGACAGGTATATAGAGAGAGTAAATTGCAAATACCTGTCCTGCAGCAACTGCCGAGGTCAATAATGATGCTGTCCACCAGAGAGCACGCATTTTCTCTCTCCCTTATCTATTGGAAAATGGAACAGAAAATGGACAAAGTGAGTAGTGAATCAATCACCCATAGCGTTGTGCCCTTGTACATATATGCGGGCTAGCCTTAGTTCTACAGGGCATTGCGTGCCTTGCATTAAAGTATGTTTTTGTATCCACCGGTATTTCTCCTTGCTTCTGATTTCACGTGTTTTGTTTATTCCTTAAACTATCTAATTGTCGACGAATGGTTATCCCTTCCTTCCAAGTCTATAGTTCCGGCTAATTAGATGGATCTAGGAGTGCGCGCGGATAAGTCAATATCTGCACACGTTCTCGAAAAACGTTCCATATACTTTGTTAAGATCACTCCGTGCTGCTGAGAATATAACTAGATACAACCAGCGCAAGGTTGGCAGCAGGCTAATATTCAGATCTGACAATCCAAGAAATTGCCGGTCATACCTTGCTGATAATAAACAACGCCAAAAATACGCCTACCACCTTTTCAGGAGTCTGTTTGGATGTATCTAGGGCTAGGTATGTTTTCCTGGCCAATGACGAGCGCCGATTGGGAATGCTAGTCAAGCCCTAACCCTAACACTGCCCTTGTTGATGGATGGCATCACGAAGAATGTGACGCATATAACTGTCTATGAATTGGCTCTGCCTTATCCAAATTGCGGGCTTGTCAAGACATGGAAAGCTATAGGGAAACTATGTGACTGGCTGAGAAGTGACTTCTCATTTACTTCTTACTGTACTTAAACTAGATCAATACTTTGTCGAAATACGTAGTGCACTGTGCAAGAGTTATACGAGTCCCACCATCTGCAAAGCCCTCTCCCACAAACGCAATTCATTCTCAGCATCATACATCTGGCGAACCCACCCAACACCAAAAGCATCATTATCTTCCGGCCCCCCGTTTTGCCTCTTCACAATCCTCCAAGTACCTCCCCCCTTTGTCCTCCCACTCCTTCCCAACAGCCGCGATTACGCTCGTCGCAGCTCCCTGCTCGGCAGATTTCACAATCTTGAGCAGCGCCTCATTCTTGAGAAGCTCGGCTACCCACTCGGGGGCCCATGTGCCTGCCAATATTGGTGCTGACGCCGCCAGGGTGAAGGCTTGTGGCGTGAAGACCCCTGTCGCGGTAGCGTCGGTCAATCTCGTTGGACATGTATATGCTAGCCAGCTTTGCGTTGGCATATGCTGCCATGGCATCATATCCGTGCTTTTGCAGGTCGATGTTGTCATTATCCTCAAGACGGGCCGCACGTTGAGCACACGATGAGACATTGACGACTCTAGAGTTGAAACTGGGAGTCACGCTGGCCAGCAGAGCAGGCTTCAAGAGTTGGAAGAGAAGGAAATGCCCAAGGTAATTTGTGGCAAAGTGAATTTCGTAATGATCCTCGGTTAGGGTAAGCTCTTGAATGCCCATGACGCCGGCAGTGTTGATCAAGATATTGACTTGGTTGTTTGATTGCTCGAGAATTTGACTCGCTGCTCTTCGGATGCTGGCAAAGGAGGTGTTGTCCATTTCGATCAGGGAGACTCGGCCTGGGTTCCAGGATTTGGCTTAGAGCTGTCTTGCCTTTGTCGAGGCTGCGAGCAGTTAGGAACAAGGTGGCGCCAGTAGCGGACAGGGCTCGTGCGGTCTCCAGGCCAATGCCAGAAGTCGCGCCGGTGATTACGATTACTTTTCCGGTGAGTTTTCCCTCGAGGTTTTCATCGCGAATGATTTGAAGGGCGGTTGGGCGGGCGTCCCCGGGGCCTTGAGGAGTGGCGTGGGCTGCAGCGTAGCGAGACATTTATTAGTATTCTCAAGCTTGTAATCGTAGAATGGTTGATGCTGTTGACCTGAAAGAAGGGGGTGAACATCAACGTATTTATATGTGGCTACGAGCAGTGCTGGCAGACTTAGGGCTTGTGTCCGCCAGCGGCCGGATGTTGCGGCCGCCATCTCCGTCTCCTCAATCCCTCATCTTCGCCTACTCTGAAAGATTTGTAGAATCCGCATTACATCATGGCTAGAGATGGCAGCCTGACCCAGGCAGCAAAAGTGTGCAGATCATGCAAGATACGGAAGAGGAAATGCAACAAGGCCATTCCCAAGTGCTCATCGTGTTCGAGGTAACCTGATAATAGACCGTCTCGCCCAATGCAGCCAATCTATTTCAACAAATAGGAGGAACCTCTCACGCCAATACGACTTGGAGACCGATATTCTAGACATCAACAACAACTACCACAACGATAGCCAACCAAATAATGCACAGTCAATCGAGTATTCAACCATATTATTCCTCGACCCCGAACTATTTGCCCATGGCCCCGTGGAACTCCATCAAACCAACAAGTACGCACCTCCACCGCATATTCTCCAGCTACTAGGAGACACAGACGCCAAATTCTTCACGCACATACACCCATGGATGCCTATCATATCCAAAAAGCGATTCTACGAACACTATCTGACGTCTCCCATCCATTCTACACCGGAAATTGTCCTCCTCCTGCTACTCGCCATCAAGCTCATCACGAATCTCCCTCTCCGCAATCCGCGGACGGAATTGTACCATGCCGTCAAGCATTTCCATCTTCAAGTAGAGGGTTCCAGCACCCTTTCGATCCAGACCTTGCAAGCCGGGGTTCTGCTGGCTCTGTACGAGCTGGGCCATGGCATCTATCCCGCTGCGATTTTGGGCATTGGTGCTTGCCCGCGATATGCGCATGCCATGGGGGTGAGTGTTGGTCGGACCGTGGTGGGTGCGAGGAAAGTCTTGACGTTGGTTGAGGTCGAGGAGAGGAGGAGAGTGTGGTGGGCTATTGTGATTTTTGGACCGGTCTGGCCTTCTCTGTCATAAACCTGTAGAGTATGAACTGATTCTGAAAGATAGTTCCGTAAACATCGGCTGCCCCGGGCGGCCCTTTGTGACCAAGTCGCCAAACTTGAATGACCTTTTACCAGCAGATGACGCAGCGTGGGATGAGGGGGTATCTTCTTTTGAGTCCTTTGCTTCAATAGTCACTTAGTTGAAGCTTCCAATGCTGACATTAACAGATTGTCCGACCAGAAGACTCTTTCCCGCTATTCGACACCCATGACCAGCCACATGAGCAAATTCGCGCTCTTGTGTCAGGCCGCGATGCTGCTGGGCCAGGTCTTGCAGCATGTCTCTTCTTCTCTCCCTAGCAACTCCGGCAATAGGTCTGAGAATGCAGAGGTAAACGACGACATCCGGATCCAACTAGACCGCACGCTCCAATCCATCCTTGCAGCTGCGCTGGACGTGGACTCGCCGGACTACGATCAAATAGCGTTTGTTTACAGGTGTTTGTCCTCGTTAGTTATGTCATAAGTTTCTCTGCGTTAACAGCATGATTACAGCGCTCTCCTCGCCCTTCACGCACCGTGGCTTTCCACATCGTCCACCAACACCGTACGCACTACCCGCGCGAGACAAGTCATCGAGCAAATCACTCTCCGCATAGAAACGAACCTAATCGAGAAACTATGCTTCCTCGGCCGCGATCCAGAGGATCTTTCGCCATGGGGGATCTTCTTTGCGTACCGGGTGTGCGTGGACCGCATATCTTCGTCGTCGTCGCCTCCCGAGTCTGAGAGCGGCTTTTGGGACGATTGGTTGTAGGTGGAAAGTAGCCGGTATGTTTTGTTTATCATTCATCTACGAATAGTCTACTGATGGCTTGTGAACCGTGGTGTGGTCGCTGTGTACGTCCAACTCCTCGAGGCGCGGGAAGCGATGACGCTGAGGGTGTAGTTGGTTAGGGCTAGGGCTAGGGCTAACTACCATTATCATTGTTGGCCTCTCCAAAACTCTTGTATTGTAACAGTTTTGGGAGCCATGTGTTGAGATTACACAATCAGCGAGCTAATGCAGTGCAGACACGTAATTATCCGAGCAATAAAGCAGGACTGCGTTGAAACTTAAGAGTAACTTGTTCTCTCCAGCCTGATTAGCCCGGACTAACGTCATGCATGGCGCACGCTAGGGAGTTCTACGTTACAGTCAAGAGGCGGGGTAGGAAGGAAAGAGAAAGAAGAAATAAATCTATTATCAATGCACAATAAGAATAAGAATAAGATCAAGGAGCAAAACCTCCAGCATGAGATGGGTATCTCTAAGAAACGAAGAACTCAAAACGCCACAAAATGGCTCAGGCTTGAACAAAGGAAAAATAGGTATATATAGTAAAACGATGAGCCGTAACCATGCAAATGCAAATGCAATGAAGCCGGTCCTGTAGTATGATTCTTTTTAAAATGATTGTCTACACGGTAGACTGTCGTCGAGATGAATTGCGAGAGGGTCGCAAGATCGATTCGCAGTTTGCATCAAACCGCATATCCCACAAGCGAATGCTGTTCATCAGTTTTTCGGTATCTTGCAATTTTCGGTCGCGTCCAAAGATGGACTCGACAAACTCGCAGCCGGCATTGCGGCCCATGGATACGGGGGCGCCTCGGCCGCTTTCACGTTTGGCGGCCTTCCACATGAAGTGCTCGCAATCCTTCAGCAGCACTTTGAAGCGCGTCCACAGCCGATCGCCACTGTCGAGGAAATCTTCGAGCAGCTCGCGGGACTCCGGGCGGCGCACACGATCGATACACTCATCGGCTCGCTTGACCTTGCCGGCCAGTTTGATTAGGAGCAGCCATAGCTCGCCGGCCACGTCGGCCATCGGGGTCGAGGCGCCATGGTAGTAAACAGTCCAGTCGTAGATCCACTTTCCCAGCGAGTTGGCGTCAAAGACACTCCCGAGAAGCATGATTGGAGCCTCGGTCGGATCCCAGTTCTTGATGGAGTAGCCGCTGGGGATACCGGCCTCGGCGGCCTCGGCCTCGGTGGCTTTGCGGGGAGACTTGGGCGGCGGCACGCTCACCTTGGGCTTGGGAGGCGTTGTTCGGGTGGAAGTGGACGCACGACGGGCTCGGGAGCGTTTCACGTCTTCTTCATAGATGGGGGGAGGAACCTGGGCAGAAGCAAAAGAGTGAGGATCAGTTTTGCGGTACGAATAAGGTCGCTGGAAGCGGACGCTTTTAGGCTCGCGGCAGATGTAGGCCGGCTCATCGTCAGCGTCGTCAACCACATCAATAATGATAGGTCGTTTCGGCATACGCGAGGGACGGATGTAATCGTAACCAAAACCAAAGCCAGGATCCGGCATGGAAGCACGGTGTTTCCTCTTGTTGTGACCAAAAGACGCACTTACATTGTCGTGCTTGTTATTGCTGCTGCTGGTGTTATTGATGTTGATGTTGCGGGACGAGGCATATTCTGGCACAGGATCGTGGTAGTGGGCGTAGGCCGAGTACCATCCGGACTCCCTGGGCGATGCATAGCTGGCTTTGCGCGAGTGACGCCTGGCGGGGTTGCGCGGCGAGGCATTGGCGTGCGGCGAGGCGTAGAAGGACTGGTAGTAGGGCGATGCTGGAGGCGAGGTGGTGTAGTCGTATGCAGGCCAGCCGCGCGGAGGACTGGAGTGGTGATACATTATGGTATGGGAGGCGCAAGCATGAACTCGGAAATCAACAATGCAAACAAAAACAAACGCTCAAAGAGAAAAAGAAAAGAAAACAGGTATATTGTACAGGATATCTAGCGAGACTCAGATCCAAACAAACAGCAATGATGGGGTAGGACCGTCACCGGGGTATGGGTTTCGGTCGGGGAGAGGAGAGGAGAGAGGCGTGTCTTGACAGCACGGGCATTTGAGCGTTGGGGCAGGCAAACTTGGGCGTGGAAGAAGCTGGATCGCGGGAGAAGGAGCCAGAACAGTCGCGAGGATGTTGAACTGGCCGTCCGTTCAAGCGTGCTGAGTCGAGATGCGCAGTTGTTGTGGTGGTGGTGGTGGTGGTAAAAGCCCGTGGCTGGGTGAGAAGAAGAAGAGAGCGAAGGACGGACGGGGCCGTTGGGTTTTATTTGCCTGCAAGGAACACGCGTACCGTCACAAAACGGTAACATGGTAATCTATCCTTTCAGCCCAAGATGTGATTCTCCTCTCTCTCTCTCTCTCTCTCTCTTACGCGCCGAATCAACGTCGCTTTTGGCCCTCGCATTCTTCCTTGCACTGATCCATTCATTCCACATGGACTGAGCCTACGCAGAGTCATTCCCAGGAGGCTGAAAAGAGTTCTATCTATTTCCACTGCTGTCTACATATGTTCTTTCTCGCTCGGAATCTCGCTTAGAGCACGTACCAGGTGAAAAATTTCTTCTCATCGCACAGATCAGCCATAGTTACTATCTAGTTAGTAGCGCTGGTATTCTAACTCGTTAGTTATCTACGTAGTTAGTTAAGTTATAACTGCCATATTATTAATATGCTCCCGTGTCTCGCCTCCAGGCCACGGAGTAACTATTATTCTCTTTGGACTCTTATTTCGATAGTCGCGAGGCTGTGCTACGTCGCCTCCCCCTTGAACCCCCGTTGGATTTACTTGATTTGTATAGAGCATGTAGACTGAAACCCCAAAAAGAAAGGAGAGCCGGCTGTCGGGACTTAACCAGAAGAAATGACTGTTTCATGACTTTCAGCCTGCCTGCGAGATTGACTCTGACTCACATGCAAGATCTCATTCTCACTCTGCTGGCGGTCACAGCCAGACAGAATCGAGAAGATGAATCCAAATTCGCCATTCGTCAGCATTTCCGCTCGCCGGCCAATCAATCTGAGCAGCAGAGTCGACAGTCGGGCTTGCTGCGACGGGCTAAAAGCGTAGGCAGCCCCCATTACTGAGGCAGCAGGCCAATGGCAGCCCGGCATTAGGCGCGCATGTATGTCCGTCACATCTTTTTCCTCCCCTATTCTTTTCTATATTCAGCTGAGCGTCGTGACTGCGCTGCAGCGTCGATCGTGCACGTTTTGTTCTATTTCCTACTCCGGCGCGCGCCGTTTGTTTGGTATGCAACTAACTTCCCGGCGAGCCGCCCGGGAAGTTTCATCCATGACCCAAATTCTGGCTCTACGTCCTCTCCTACCAGTCCTGAATGTACAGGTACAGAGCACGCTGAACTGTCGTGGCTGTGGCGTTGGGCGCTGCAAAGCTCACCCTGCCTGACCGCCTCGCGACAGTCGTTGAACTCTATCTGAATCTATCGTGCAGATGCGCCATTCTTTGCATTACTCGTGTCCTCTCATACTCATCATCTTCTTAATCTCTCTCGTCAACTCACCGACTATTCGCGTAATTGTGCGCCTGTTTAACTTTAACATGGTCCATAGCGAGTCAGACAGATGAATGGAGGATTATCCATATTGGGCACGAACCGAACGTTCCTGCTCGGTTAGGGTTAGGGTTGTCTCGTGACACGCCCGAAAAGGAAAAAACTACCATCTTCCCTGTTAATAATGTTAATATCTTAACATCCCTTACCTCTTGTTACTATCTGCTGCATTTTTAATTTCATTTTCAAGTTCGAATTTCGAATGTGCGTCTGGACTGTGCGAGTCCGGTGGGCTCTCATGCATGCTTGTTTGTATGCATCGTAAATACTAAACCATGCATAAGCATCCATTGGCCTCTAGCCTGCATATTCGTTATCCATAAAAGCAAGGCTTTTGGATATACAATATTCACAAAGGGTCTGCCTGCTTCTGTAGACGTGCATACATAGGGCCGCCATGAAAAACCGGTTTGTGATGTCAATTTCGGCCTTCTAGCGTGATCTAGCCTGGTATTAAGTAGTAGTGCTAACCATAATCCTAGAGACCGCTGAAGGGCCTTCTAACGCTTAATATATTTAATCTAATTTACCCCTCCGTGCTGCCTGATCAAAGGCTCAGCCCGTCTCGTCGTACCGTTTTCACCATCAGAAATGGTTAAATGGCTGCAGCCTACGTATTTAGGTCGCTGGTGGCTCAAGCATATTGAAATATATCAGCATCAGAATTGATCTGTATATGTATTACATGTTACAATACTGGAATTCTCCCTGTTGGGCGTTCATGCAGCACACTCGACATTAGGCTGTCATGCTTCAGCGCAAAACCGCAGTTATCAACGTTCAATGCCTTATCGTATTTCCAAACGGTAACGGCGTAGGAGAATAAATATATTTAGGACATGTATATGTATATATTTTCCTAAACAGGAAGGACCTACATTCTATTCTAGATAGACAGTCCAGGCTTGTACTGCGTCAAAACCTGCACAATCTCCCCCCAAGCCCTCTTCTGCAGCCTCTCCCACTCCTCGGCCGTCAGTCCAGGCGACAAATCGTCGAACCGATCATTCATCCACATCCTCCCATTCGCTTCCTCGCCCAGCGTCAACCCGGACACGAGCACCCGACTCCCCTGCTCCGCCGTCCTGGCAACCACCGCATTGAAAAACTTCATTGATAAGCGCAAGCCAAACGAGAAATGCCGGCCTAGATCTGTCTTGGTCTGGTTCGGACAGCACGCTAGGAGGATTGGTGTAGAACCGGAAGAAGATCCAGGCAATTTGCCCTGGCTCCCACCGAGAGACTCTACCAGTCCCTGGAGCACAAACATGAGCAGCAGCTTGGGCTCGCAGTACCCGGATTCCATAGTCCAGCGATCCGCACGATTAAAGTATTCTAGAACCTTTAGATCTCCAGCAGCAGGAGCAGCAGCAGGAGTATCCGGCTCCAGCATAGGCGCAAGCTGCTGGCTAGTCACATTGCAGTAGCCGCACGACCCAACGAACTCGAGTATACTTCCTGGCGTCCGCTTAAGCAGCGGTAGCAACTCGATAGCTAGCAGGGCAGCAGACAGGACATTAACTTTGAGCGCCATCTCCCAGCTGCCCGGGACGCCTTTCTCGGTTGTCGTTTCGTACGCTGGCATCGCGACGCCCGCGCTGAGCAGGACGCAGTCTAGCGTCGGCGTGGAGGCTTTGACTGCGTCGGCGAAGGCGCACACAGAGCGGAAAGAAGCGTATTCAATCTCGAAAATATCAATGCGTGCCCTATCCAGGGTCGGCACTTGTGCGAGAATCTTGTCTCGTGTGGCTTCGCCTTTGGCTATTGTGCGAGTGCCCAGGATGAGTCTTTGCGGGTTGCGAGCGGCGATTTTCAGGGCGGCTTGGTAGCCCTGGGATTGTTGGATCAATTTAAAAAAAAAATAAAATAAAATAAATAATTCGAAGAGAAGAAATTAACTTACAACTCCCGTGTTACATCCAGTCACAAGCACGGTTTTCCCATCGAATGTTTTGCTGGTTTCGGCTGGCGGGTTGCGAGCGCCGCGAAACATGTATAAGGGCGAGACTTTTGCATGGGGGTCGTTGAATTGTACCATTGTGACGAGCCTTATATATAAGTGAGGAAGGAGGAAATGTGTATATTAGTGAAGAATACAAGACTCCAAAGTCTTTGGTGGATTTGAGTCCTTTTGTTCGTCCTTCGGTGATTCGGTGATTCGCATTCGGTGTTCTGTTCGGTGTTGGTCTGGTCTACGAGGACATAAGACAAATTCAAGGTTGATGATCTATGGAAGTGCCGAATATGTCTAGTACAAGATCTCTGACTCTAGATCATTGACCAGGTAAGTATACAGCATACAGCATACAGCATATCGGTATATCGGTATATATGTATACGGGTTATGTTAGGTTAGGGCTAGAACTGCCTGCTAGGCATACATAAAGAAAGAGTGTATAATACACCACGACGATCTATCATGACTTATAGTATTATATCTTCACAGTAAATATAAAAGAACATAAATTGAATCGAGACATGCTATTCTATAGCCCGCTGATCAATCCAGCTGTTCCTGCGACGGGCGGTTGACTATCATGAAATATAACATATCCTGCTCAATTAGTACTTCCATTCAAGCATATAAATATATACTTCTTGGAAAATCTTCTTCGCGCCTGATAGCTAGTACCAAGAGCATGTTCAAGGCAGTCCCTGAAAAGCCTCCATTGCTATTTTTGCTTGGATATTTGTATTTTGTGTTCGATGTGATTCTCGGTATGGAGATGAGAGAGAGCTTCCTGAGTTCAGGCTGAGGTGTCCGCTCTTTATATACATCGTATTAAATGGAAAAAGTAAGTATGCAGATGCACCCAGTCAGTATCGCCACGGGATCACCGCTGCTCGCCGGATGGTTTGGATCCGCGTAGCTAGAGAGTGAAACTCCTCGACAAAGATAGTTTAAGATGCGAGACCGATGCCAGACCCCACGCCTCGAGAGATCCTTCTACCAAGACCGCCTTTTTGATCTGTGCTGGATTTTTTTCTCCCGAAAGGCGGCTGGCAGGAGCATGGTATCATAGGTGGTATACCGGGAGAATCTTTTAGTGCAGTCCTATCTTACTGTTAGAAGCGATAAACGTTGATCATTATACCGACTATATACTAATATATACTATGATATCATTGATATTGACAATGCCTGCAACTCCACACCCATACATATCCGTAAATATTGACTAGAAGAGAAGAGAGAGAAAGGGAAAAAAAGAAAAAAGAAAAAGAAAATCTAGACAACTATATACTCCCCATCTACCCCCTCCGCTTCAATAATGCTCTGCCATCTGAACCCATGGGCATCTGGAGGACTGGGCCCGGATACGAACCCCTGAGCAGAAGATAGTGAAACATCTCGTGTTTGGGCACGCATGTTCGAGACGGGACTGCCCGAGTACCCATGATTCATATAAAGATCCTGGTAATGGTGTTGAGGATGAGGATGAGGATGAGGATGATATGGCATAGAATATCGATTTTGGCTGCTCACGGCTGGGTTGCGCGCCCATATTTTCTCGAGTAATTCGAGACATGAGATGTTGTTGTAAAAACCAGAGTCCTTCTGGATGTCCTTGCAACGATTTCGAATCGCTGCGCGGTGCTCTTCATAGACGCATTCCGAGCCTGTGATGAATAGTGGCCAGAGAAGGTACACATCTGATTCGACTGCGGCAATGTAATGCATTGCCGTAATCACGAATGTCTGAATGCGTGTGTGGGTCGATGGGATATCTGGATGCGCGACGCGTTCGGTGTAGAGCAAGGCCGAATACCGGAATGCTTCGGAGATGTTGGAAAGATCAGCCAGATTATTTGATGAGACAGTCAAAGTTGGCGCTGTCGGGGAAGATCCCATGGTGGATCCGGAAGTCCCTGAGGATGAAAGAGAGTCGTTTGAGTTGGGGGATGATTGGAAAGGGAGGTTATTCACGTCGTAGCCACTGGCTAACAGGGTCGTCGGATCGAGTCGCCAGCTTTCTAGCTGTTGGCGGATCGAGTGCCATTCCGTCCAGAATTCTGTTGTATCTCCGCTGTGCGCCGTTTGAGGGCTCTCATACGACGAGGGTGCATACGCTGTGTGGATTCCGCTGGGAACAGCATGATAGTGGGATAACGACGGAGGCACAATAGGCATGGAAACCGGCATATCGATGTTATACGAAGGATCAACCGGGCGATTCTGGCTCAATACATTCAAGCGGCCCAGCCGTGCCATGATTTTGAACAGCCGACCGTCGCAACCGGCCAGATTCTCCAAGGCCCATTCTTCATCAGACAAACAGGTCTTGTCGAGATACAGGCCTTGCAACTGGCCTTCGCGGTTATTGATGGTGGCCGTCATGGCGTCAAACCATGTAAACATCCTCGTGCACCACTTGGCTTCCTCAGATTCGGCCATGTTGTTGCGATGTCTCATGGCTAGAAGTTTCCGGACGCCGGCAAATTGTGTCTGAAACTGAGCAACGCCGGTTTCACACACGTGAAACAGGCAGAGAACCAACAGGGACGCCAGCACCGAGTCACTATGTCGCTTCGAGGGATCTGCAAGTAGCGAGTTGAGCGATCTGATCGCCACGGATTTGTGATAGACTTCTTCGCGGTTCTCTGTCCCTAGATCCTTGATTCCATGTCGTTCCTGGAACGACGCATCGGTGAGCGCTCGGTGTGCCATGGATGACTTTCGAGCCTGCTCCGTTCTTTCGGTGGAGAGAATCTTTTCTTCTCGTCTTTGCCGTATGTTACTCGCCGACAGCGCTGCAATGGCATGCTGTAACGTCTCGCTATGATGTGCCAGTCGCAGAATCCGTGTGCGGTATGGATTGCTGGGCCGGTCAAAGGCAACTATCACGGGGGCAATCACCTCTGCGAAGTAGCTAATCAAATACCGCATTCGCGGTGTCCGGCCGACGGACTGTTCCAGGAGCATGTCTGGCAGCGAATTTGCAAAAGGACTCTGGGTAAAGTGCCACGAAGTCTGTGTCTGCCTGTACGAAGCCACTGGATATCGATGATGAGGATGATGATCCTCATAGACGAGCGACAGAAGATGCTCTTCTTCCAGCTCGTTTTCATGTTTGATTTGAGAAGACGAACACCGGTGACTTGCCACGGCAGGGGGCAGCGTATAGAACCCGGTTTGATAGTCGGGCTGGTGATATTCAGGGGCATAAGGAATACTGCTAGAGCCAGGATACGAGGAAGTCGATGTCGCGGTTAAAGGAACGGCCCAGGCTGAACTCGGAACGTCCGGCGACGTATGCTGAGGACTCAACTCGGCCGCGGGGAAGACATCTGCGGGGAATTGTATAGCTGCCGGTCCATGATACACAACGCCGTGGTCATTGACCTGCTGGAAGGTGTCTAGTGCCAATGGAGGCTGAGAAACCCGCGGCGGCCAGTGTACTGGCTGGTGGTAGGTCTCAACGGGCGAGGAAGTGACGGCAAACGGATCGGTCTCGGTCTCGGACGGGGTGACGATGGACGGCGAGCCTGTGGCAGATCTCTTGCGGCGAGCAGGAGGATGGTCGAGTTGCTTGCGCGCCTTGAGCGCAGATTTGGGCTGGCTGGCGGTGCCGTCTGAGACCGGCAGCGACAGGCCTCGCAGCTTCCCTCGGCTGGCCACGCCCACGCCCCAGGTCAGCGTGGTTTTGTATCCGGCGCAGTCTCTGCCCTGGTCGAGGCACTGGCTGCAGTACGGACGGCGGCGGTCGCACTTCAGGCCGGACGCTGCGCAGGTGAAGCAATCGTCGGCTGCACCGCCGGCGGCCGTCGTTCTCTTGCGTCTCTTGCGAGGAGCGGCGGATGCCGTCGAGCGGTGCTGGGCGGCGGCTGGAGGGTCAGCGTCCCCCGACATGGCGCGTTACTTTGGCATGCAATTGAGGAGACTGTGAGGAAGAGAGAGACCAGGAAAAAGAGGGAGCGAGCGAGCGAAGAAGAGTGGGACGAAACGGCAGAGGGTGGAATTGCGGAGACTGCGCAGATAGCCAGCAGCACACTAGAAGACGGCCAGAAGCCTGCCAGAGATAACTAACTACACGAGCGCACGGAATCTTTCCTAGTTCTACTTTCTAATTTATCCTGCATTGCGCTAGGCCGCCAGCCAGGCCGATGCCAGCCGGCGGCCATGCTCATGCTCATGCGGTGCTGTTCGCTGTCGTCCTCGGTACGGGCGAAACCGCCATACGCGCAGTTATTGCATGCCAGCACGCCGATTTGTGGCTCCAGCACGTAGTCTGTAGTGCTAGTAGATGCCGTGCTATGCTATGCTATGCATGCTATGCATGCTCTGCTCTGTTCTGCTCTGCTCTGCTGTATGCGATGTAGATAGAGTGCGTGCCAGGGTCGGTTCTAACCAGCAGATTGAATCTTTCTGCCGGCGCTCGTGGGCCGCGTCCAACCTTCATCAGTGCGCACGCCACGGCCCCGGGGAGAAGACAAGACTTTTTATGCCTCGTTATACATCTAGAGCATGCATTGAATAACAACCTTCTGCATTTCCCTCTGCCCTAGTCCTGACTCCCTCGGCCATGGCTGTCCAGCGCCCCCGGCGGCGGTTGCGCTCGCTGTGCTTCCTGCTGGCCGCGCTCTTCTTCATCATCTTCTCCATCTACATCTACGGCAAGCCGTCGTCCAGCAACCGCTTCTACGACGCCCACTACACCGAGTCCCCTGTCGACCCCTTCCGCGGCCGCCAGCTCGCCTTCTGGACTGCGTTCCGCGACATCCTCGACCGCCATGCCCCCGATTGCCCGTCGCCCGAAATCACCGGGTTCGCCAACCCGACCCCCTTCAATGCCCTCGAGTCCAGTCCGCGTCCGGACCTCATCGTGCTCCCTGCTGCCCATCGCGAGACCATGAAGTCGGCGCACGTCGCGTTCGTCGACGAAATCCGCTCCGCCAAATCGGTCAAGCCCATCCACACCCCCGGGTCGCGAGGCTTGGTGTCCATGGCGGGCGGCCCCTACTTCCCGCTGTTCCTGGCGCAGCTACGCATGCTCCGTCGCAGCAACTCAAACCTGCCGGTCGAGGTCTTCCTGAGGGATTCGAGCGAGTACGAGAATCACCTGTGCGAAAAAGTCCTGCCTCAATACAACGCCAAATGCGTGGTCTTGTCCGCGCTGCTGGGATCCACGAAACACAAGGGCGTGGAGATCGAGCACTACCAGTTCCGCACCTTTGCCGTGCTGTTCTCGTCCTTCGAGGAAGTCGTCTGGATGGATGCCGATTGCTTCCCACTGTATCGAGTGGAGGACCTGTTGGATTCAGAGCCCTTCGCTTCCACGGGCTTGGTAACGTGGCCCGACTTCTCGGCTTCTACTACCTCCCAGCTCTTCTATGAGATCTCGCAGCAAGACATCCCCCCCATGACTCTGCGCGCCGCCACCAAGACGGGCGTGTTTCTCATCTCCAAGAAAAAGCATTTTCTGACCCTTCTTCTCGCGGCCTACTACAACTATCACGGCCCGTCTCATTACTTTGCCCTGCTGTTGCAGGGTGCCTCCGGACAGGGAGACAAGGAGACTTTTCTTCAAGCAGCATTGGCCTTGAAAGAGCCCGTCTACCCAGTCAGTGAACGGGTTGGCGCTTTGGGACATGTCGTTGATGGCGGCGAGATGGCTATCTCTGCGGTAGCCCAGGCCGACCCCATTGAAGATTTCACCTTGACCAAGGAAGGGAAATGGCGAGTGCAAGACCCCGCGGCGGGGAAAGCGCCTCGTGTGTTTTTCATCCATGCAAGCCATCCCAAGTTCGATGCCAGCGACAATATCTTTGGATATCAGTGGGACGGCAGCGTCCCGGCCTCCATGCCCCCCCCTACCGCGGGCCGACTATGGACCGATAACGCGGATGTCATCAGGAGGTTCGGCTATGATGCCGAGAAGGCGTATTGGGAAGAGGTCAAATGGGTTGCGTGCAACTACGAGACATCGCTTCATGCATGGGCCGCTAAGCATGGAGTATGCGACAATATTCAGGGGCATTGGCGGAATGTCTTTGAGAATGCTCATGACGACGATCTTCAATTTACTGACAATTAGACGGCGTCCCACTGATTATTAATGTTTTGATGACTGACGAACATATATCATACATTTCTTGTACACTAATAGTTATTAGACCACTAACATAAATGCATTTAATTATTTCTCTTTAGCAAGCCGGTCTATTTACCGCTCTTTTCCCGCAGCCTTTGCTCATCCTCCTTTTTCAGCTCAGCATCGATCTGTGCTCCTTTTGATGGGTTATTCCCATGAAGTTTGGCCTGGGGATCGACCCGATTAGCACGTCTGGCCACTTTCTTAAGAGTACACTCAAAGAAACATACCGGTAACGTCGGGTCCTTCTTACTCAGTTCCGCCTGCGGATTCACGGGTACCTCGTCCTTGCGTGTTCGTTGCTCTTCACGGCCGAGACGGTTGGCAATGGATCTTTCATCTTCTATACAAGACCCACCTGTGAGCGAGATGACAATACTCTTGTGGACGAGCAGAACGGTGTGTGGAAGGAAGAAATGAACTTACTGGAGTCGTTGGCGAGATGACTGCCCTGTTGGCCCTCCTTGTATCGCTCCCGGTCGTTGACTTCGGCCCTGGACTCGGTGCGTTGGTCTTTGGCTTCGTAGATCTGGCGCGATCCGACGTTGGAGGTGGCAGAGCCTGAGCCGGTGGATCTTGCGGCGGCCATTTTGGTTGTTGTATAGGTATAGGTATAGGTATAGGTATAGGTATATGTAGGGTATGTAGGAGTGGTGTGCAGGGAAGGGAGTGTTATTGAATGTATCAGCTTGGGAGACTGCAAGATGCACTTATATAGTTGTATCGCAAGGCCTGAGGCCGCGATGCAGCCTCAGGCTCAGAATGTCTGCTGTGACGATGAGGTGACCTCAGCGTGGGTCTGCCTGAGAAGTCGCTGAGGTCACTGACTTGACAGGCACGCCGCTTACTAAGGCTGTGTTGACATCAGAACTTCCATCTTTACATATTTCTCGTACGCTGTGATTGTTGCAATCCATAGTAATATGTGAGTATGTATAGTTAAGTTATTATGAGTAACTAGTTAACTAACTTAAGTTCTGTTCTGTCTGACATCATGAACCCCCCTCCCGGGATAGGGAATGTGCCCCTCCTCACCGCCCCCGATAAGATAGAAGTTTTTCAGTCTCATTTTTATGTTGTTGCGTGTTGATTCCTCAATTGCAACGGTGAAAACAGACGAAAAGAAAAGAAAAAACAAAATGGCCAAGCGCAAAAGCCTCAAGGACGCGGACAATGACGTCTCCATGTCTGATCGCCGAGACGACGACAGCGGCAGCGAGTCGGTATATATCTGCAGATTTTATTCGTAATTCAACTATTGTTTACTGTTTACTAACCTACCTCATGACAATACCACAGGACACAGAACTTATAAACGTCGAATTTGAATGGTTCGATCCGCAGCCCGAGGTGGATTTCCACGGCCTCAAGACTCTGCTGCGACAGCTTTTCGATACCGATGCGCAATTGTTCGATATCTCGGCGCTGGCGGATTTGATCCTGTCACAGCCTTTGCTTGGTTCGACGGTGAAAGTAGATGGGAAGGAGACGGATCCATATGCGTTTTTGTCCGTTCTGAATATCAGTGAGCACAAGGTAAACCCATCCAATGGAAGGGAAAAAGAAGGGGGGAAGAAAGTCTAATAAAATATACCAGGATAAACAAGTCATCAAAGACCTGACCAAATATTTGGCGCAAAAGGCGTCTTCAAACCCGTCCCTCGCCGCTCTGTCGCGACTGCTCTCCAACACCGACCAACCACCAGCCGTCGGCCTCATTCTGACCGAGCGCCTAATCAACATCCCCTCCGAAGTAGTCCCGCCAATGTACTCGATGCTCGTCGAGGAGATCGCCTGGGCGCTAGAGGAGAAAGAACCCTATAGTTTCACGCATTACCTGATTCTGTCCAAGACCTATGAAGAAGTGGAATCGAAACTAGACGCCGAAGAATCGCGGCCGCAGAAGAAGAAGAAAAAGACGGCGGGAAGTTCGAGTGACAGGTTTTATTTCCATCCAGAGGACGAAGTACTTGAGAAGCATACTTTGTGCCATGGCAAATTCGAGTATACGCATAAACAGGCGGAGGGTGCGTCGGATGCGAAGAGGGCCTTTCAAGATTTCGGCATTCAGCCGGCTGGGAGTTTGATGTTAATTGAAGGAGGGAAGTTTGACGATGCCGTTAAAGCGATTACGGATTACTTGAAGCCGCCGGTATAGACTTCTTGCTTCTCTGATAGTTTATAAGTAGTTGAGAAAAAAACAAAAAAAAAATAGATTCATTCATTCACACAACATATTATTTGTTGGCGCTTCAATGCTAGTTACTCCCATTGCGTTCCTTTCAGCCGTTGCATGAGATATTCGACCTCAACCACCTTGGTTATGGGAATGATAATGTTCTAGATCGATGTTAGCCAAGTAAAAAAAAAAAAAAAAGAAAAAAGAAAACCTCCAGTATAGTATATATCCAGAGGGGGGCCAAAAAAACTAACCTTGTACATATTCACAACAGCCTCCGAGTCAATCTTATTACGGTACTCCTCCAGCACCGGGTCACTGCCATACGTCTGCGCTTTCGTCTCGATCCGCTTCAGCACCAGCTGTTCCACCTTCATGTTTGTGATTGCCTCGTCGATGCCCTGGCGATCCCCGGCCTTGATCAACTGCACAAACTTGTCTGTTTCCTGCTGAAACTTCGACTCGGCCACAAACTTGCCAAAATGGATACGCCGCGAGAGCGCCTGTAACAAATTCACATCGGCCGATGCTGACGACCCGTAATTCTCCTGTGAAGCACCGCGGTCAACCCGATTCGTCGGGCAGACGGCGGGGATAATTTCTTCAATGTAGCGCTTCTTGATCGTTTCGTTTTCGTTCACGTCGTTTGCCCATAGGATTTGTGGGTATTGTAGTGGTTCCAGGATCGGGGTTTCGAGCGCTTGCGGGAAAAATGGGTGCTCGTCTGGTGACTCGTAGCGGCGTACGCGAGATTGTATCCTTTCTTGCTCTTGGAGGAGGTAGTCCATCAGACTCAGGTCGCTGCCTGGAATGGGCACGCCGCCGGGGACATAGATGGTTTTGTTATGGGGGAATTGCGCCCGCTCGATGAGGTGGAAGGTGATGGTGTCTTCGAGGCGACTGTGTTTATTGTCAATCTTTTCTTTTTGCCCTGTCACTTATGGATGGTGCAGCTCATCTGGATTGACAATATAACTCACATCAGCTGCGCGCGTATGTTGCTCAGGTCCAGAGCTTTGGAGCGGTCTGTGAGGTCGATTGCGGCATCCATGGTTGGGTCCAGATTGGGGGTAGGTAAATCGAACAAATCAGACAATTGGATAAACAGACAACTGAGTATAAAAATTGTAGCAAGCACGCAGGCAGGTATATTGTAGAATGATGATGTTCAGAGGAGAAAGTATGACTCCGACACATCTTTATAGCAAACCCCCCTCCGACTCCGGCGCTTGTGCTCCAGTCCGTCCAACATGCAGTTCCATGCTGCTCACGGCCAGACCACGTAGTTTATGACAAGATATAGATAAAGCGAGTCGGTAGTGAATAGTAGGTAGTCGAGATGCTCAGCGACATAGAAACTCGATTCGATATCGGTGCCTCAGGTTGAAAGCAGGAAGCATTCCTCTAGAATCTAGAATCTCGTCTAGGGCTGTATATCCTATAAACACTTGCATGTTCATACTCGTAGAATAGACCCCTGTAGTTAGTTTCTAACGTAGTATCGCTATGGCCAGCGCGTAGTTCTTCGACTAACCTGCTCGTGTGCTTGCCTCATTGTAGACATCTGTACAATACCGTATCATTTCAAAAGTAACCGCCTGTCCGCCGCAGAAACCAGCGTAATATTACACCCGTCGTGTAAATTGCTTTCGGCATCTCGGCCAAAAGGGCCCAATTTATTATTATTATTATTATTATCGACAAGCTCCGCCAGCAATCTTCACAACTCATCCATGATACAACCAACCGCCAAACACCCCCGTTCTCTTTGCGCCGAGGAACTCTAGGGGCTTCGGAGTATCCCCTACAGCTGTATCCTCCAGATGGAGGAATACCGGCACGATGAATACCCCCAGGGCCCGTGGGACCCAGATTCGGAAGATTCTCTTTTGGGCACTGGCTTGACGGTACATACTTGCAACTTTCTTTCTTTTTTTTTTCTTATTACTGGAGGGGGAAGTAGCTGCAGAAAAGAAGAACAGCGAGAGACTAACTCTTATGCTTCATTTTCGATAGACGCGCCACCTTGAAGCATTCGGCCGCAAAGTCACGTCTACAGCCAACCATTTCATGGGCCCCGCCTCCGATCCTCACTATCAACATGCCTTGACCGATATTCATCGTGAACTACGCCGGCCTGCTGTGCAGCGGCGGATGTTCTCCCTGACGCGGACAACCCCCACGGATCTGGTACGCTCGAAGTTGTCGACGGCAGAGATCCAGTCGAGAGCGCTCTCCTCGCTTCCGGAAGAGCTCCTTTTCAACATCCCCGAAGATAACAGCAGCTACTCTCTTTTCCAGGGCTTTCAAGCCTCTCTCCCCGAACCAGAACATGATCCCCACCACAAATCGCACCGCAGACGCGGCTCAAAGCACCAGAAACAGCTTGCCGACGCGGGTTCCGGCAAAACGCTGCCCTCTTCGAAAAGTGGGTTGAAGACGGAGCGAGAGCGATTGAACCATCGTCTGGAGATGATGGGTGTGCGGAAGAATATGTGCAGCGCAGAGATTCACGAGATAGACAACAAGATCGCCAATCTGAATAATATGCGGAAAATAGTTTTGGATCGTCTGGCGGGCTTGGAGGTGGACGAGGGCGAGCTGGAAACTCAAAGTAGGCTTTGCTTGATTCCCTCTTCTCGTGGCTACTTGGACTGTTTTTATACTGACTAGCTACCCGACAGTCGTCGAGTTGGATAATAAAATAGAGGATATGGAAGAAGACGAGGAAGAAGAGAAAGAAGAAAATATAGCTGCTGCCAAAGCCACGCCAGCATCCGATGCGAAGGAAGCTTCGGAAGACGCGGCTCTTGATGCGTCGTTCATGTCAGAATCCATCTATCAGAAGTTACCGACACCTTCACCGCGAAGTCGCAAAGTACGATCAATAAGTATGTAGTCACCCTTAAGAAGTCTTTAGGGCAGCGGGCTAATTAATAAAAACCCAATCTGTTTAGGGAAGAAATCTATGCCAATTCTACATGAACACTTTGCGCCTGGCACTGCAATAAAGGAAATACCTGCGCACAACGATATAATCACAGCCCTCGACTTTGACTATCCCTTTGGCACACTGGTTAGTGCGGCATTGGACGATACGGTTCGCGTGTGGGACCTCAATGCTGGAAGGTGTACTGGATTTCTGGAAGGCCACCATGCCTCTGTTCGATGCTTGCAGGTAGAGGACAACCTTGTCGCGACAGGTTCCATGGACGCATCCATTCGCATATGGGATCTCAGTCGAGCGCAGCCTGTCCCGCAAACCGATCGCATCAACAAAGCCGTGAGGGAAGATGCTGAAGATGGGGACAACGCCGAAGACGTAGCCACAGCACTGTCGCCATCGCACTTTGCATCGAACATGGTTGACTGCGAAGTATTTTCCTTAGAAGCCCACGTTGACGAGGTCACAGCCCTCCATTTCCGTGGAGACACTCTGATTTCCGGCTCAGCGGACAAGACTTTGCGACAGTGGGATCTTGTCAAGGGGCGGTGCGTGCAGACATTAGATGTCCTCTGGGCAGCAGCACAGGCATCGACGTCCGGATCAGCCAACTTGAGCAGCTCTCAATGGCGTCCGACGGGACGCTTACCGGACGCATCGGCGGATTTTGTCGGCGCTGTCCAATTCTTCGACGCTGCCTTGGCCTGTGGTACGGCTGATGGAATCATTCGATTATGGGACCTCCGTAGTGGCCAGGTGCATCGCAGTCTAGTCGGGCATACCGGGCCTATTACGTGCTTACAATTCGATGACGTGCATTTGGTTACTGGCAGTCTAGATCGAAGTATTCGGGTATGTTTTCTCTCCCTTTCCTCCCCCTTCCTCTCCCATGAATATGCTGACAGTCCGTTAGATATGGGATTTACGCACGGGGTCAATTCATGACGCCTTTGCGTACGACAACCCAATCACAAGCATGATGTTTGACACTCGCCGCATAGCGAGTGCAGCCGGCGAGAGCGTCGTCAAGGTCTACGACAAGACCGACGGCCACCACTGGGACTGCGGTGCAGGGGCAGCTGAGGACAGCGAGAGCGCAGCGACTGTCGAACGAGTGCGAGTGAAGGACGGCTATCTCGTTGAAGGCCGCAAGGATGGCACGGTTGGAGTCTGGACTTGCTAATTTCTAATCTGATAGACTGGTGGCCGTATATGTCGAATGTATATCTATCTAGCTTTTGTAACAACTGTGTCCTTTCATTTTATTCTTTTTCTTTGGGCACTCATGGAGGTGGACTGTGCATGTTTAAGAGAGCGGAGGGGTCTATTGTAGTACATAAGCTGGAATCAACATCTCATCCTTGTTTGCCGAATTGAAACAATAGTTAGTTGTTTATGCCTCAGGCAGCAATGCACTGGCCCACCACGCCCGACGCGGCAGACAACAAAAGTCCGCCGCCTCACGCGTCGACAGCATCGAGTTCATAACTACCTCGCCGTGATTGCCCTCGTCAACAGAAAAAGAGGCAGCAATTCCTGGGCAAAATAATTCAACCAAGGCACTATTGCGGTGCTTTTCTAACTACCATCCACCTCGGTGTCGAAGTTTGGCCTCAAATCTCGGGGCATCAACCCTCAAGGCATCGCAGCCAATCAAATGATCAGATGAGAACTGGCGATATATCGTTCATTGTTTGCGGGCAATGCTGTGAACTGCATACATGAAACACGCTTGCGATCATCTCAACCTCGCAGTCATCTATCTGTACATAATCACGGACGGCCGCACCAGCATGCTTTTATTGGCCTGACCATTCGGCAATCCAATCCATTGTGAATAACCTATCCAACGACTGTCTTCTTTTCATGAGACTAGGTTATGAATTGAATACGCGCTTCCGTCATGCCTAAGCCGAATGCTCGTCGAGACCCCGCCTACAGTCCGTCGGGTGAGTGGCCTTTTTTTTTTTTTTTCTCTCCCCATCGGTTCTGGCCTTGCACACTAACAGCCTGCAAACAGGACGACGATATGCCCTGGACCCCGGTTCTCCAGTGCGACGCTCAAAGCGTCTGGAGGTAGGAAGTGCTTCTCCGTCGCCTTCCATAGTCCTGCGCGCCACCACCCCTGACGCCAGGCAACTTCATGAGACACTGCGTGCAGCGTCCGAAAGCCCTACAAAAGAAGGGCGTGACAGCAGAGCAAGGGAAAGCAGTATCCATTCTAGCATCACTCCCTCACCACCTGTTCAACGGACAATTTCAACAGCGTCTACTCCATCAGCCCCGTCTCTCAATCCTGCTATTGCCACAGAAAACGATGGTGATGCTCTAGAGCAGCAGAGTGATCGTGGGTTCTCGTTTTTTAGATATCCTCGTCTTTCGTCTATCGGGCTCGGCAGGAAGGCTGCTTCGCCTGCTGTGAGTTCTCCGCAGGCCGAGGATCCCTTTGATGGCGACTCGGTGATATCTTGGCAGCTGGAGCGCGAGTTGCATCGAGATAATCTACAGCGTACGCGGCCGGATGATTATCCCCGTGAGTCTGGCTCTGCGGAAGGTCGGAATATTAGGGCGCCTCCACGGCGGCTTTCTGGGCTCACGTGGACGAATGATACCACTCATAATACTGTGAACAATAACGAAGATGATGACGACGACGACGACGACGATGATGATGATGACAACGACAACGACGCAAAGTCAGAGACTCCAGAGATAAGAACTGCGGCTGCGAAGACGGTCATATCGACTGCTCACAACGAGTCTGTCGACGAGAGCGTGGCTGGAAGTGTGCGACCCTCTACTGCTGACCGGCCCGTGACTCCTATCGACAGACATCGCCGCCCACCTACATTTACAGTGCCGCCAACGGAGAAAGGTGAAACAAAGTGGCCTCTGTTAATTGCTACAGTTTTGACGGCGCTGGTTGTCGCATTATTAGCAGCTACGATGTTCTTTTTAAGAGATCATCTCGAGTACAATAATCCATTCATGCATCAGCCCAAACCCTATCCAACATTTAACAGCACCGACGACCGGCTCATCACGCAGCTATCGAATGAGGTTGATAAACTCGGCGTGCAGATTTCTTCTGTATCCCAAGACATTCATCGCCTATCCTATGAGCAGAGACAAATGGTCGATCAGGTAACAATTGTGAGCCCAGTACCTGCCGAACTCGAACCGAGAATCAACTTCCTCTCGCCAGGCCTAGGAACGCATGTCGACCCCTTACTCACAAGCCCCAGCATTGGTACTAGGAGAACTCTGCCTCGCCGTCTCTACGAGAGCCTCTCTGGCAACTATATGCCGCTACCCAATCCGCCGGAAGTCGCACTGGAAGCATGGGATGACATTGGCGATTGCTGGTGCAGCGCGCCAGGACAAGAGGGGCAAGCGCAACTCGCGCTTGAACTTGGACAGCGCGCGATCCTCGACGAGGTTGTTGTCGAACATATCCCGGCCAGTGCGTCCCTGGACCCGAGTGTTGCGCCTCGTGAAATGGAGCTGTGGGCACGCTTCAGACCTTTCCATGGGCAATACACCGGGCCGCCGCCGGCACCTCCTTCTAATGATGCTTCTAGCACCAAAAATTCTGGCTGGTTTGGTCTATTCCAGCCATCATCTTCTGTACCACCACCACCTTCTTTTACTTCCTCGCCATCGTCACTCTCCTCACTACTCGACGCAATTCTAAAGACGCTACGACAGGCGTACCCATCCGAAATGGAAAATGCATACTCAAACGACCGTCTTCTTGGACCGGCCTACTTCCGTCTCGGAAAATGGGAGTACGACCGAACGGGAGACGCGGTTCAGCATTTCGCGCTCAATGCGCTTATCGACTATCCGACTCTGCGGGTGGACAAGGTCGTGCTGCGGGTGAGCTCGAATTGGGGAGGGAATCATACGTGTTTGTATCGGGTGAAATTGCACGGGCATGTTTGATGCTATTTTTGTTTTTTGTTTTTTTTTTTCTTAAATTGTCGTTTGTTTCAGCGTGGAGTTTGGGTTTTCTTTCTTTGTCTGTTTTCTTTTTATGGGAATAGGATAGGGCTGCACAGACAGACAGTTCTTCTCCACCTTGAAATCTAATTACAAGACTATTAGTCCAAACCTAACGATGAACAGGTTCGTCTGACTCTACCAGTCTGGACCTAGTTAGTTATTGAACTATGAGCAGAGCATGAGCATGTCCAAGGGAAGTCTAATTTCTAATAAATGCACTTGCAACCCCTGCCGCGATACGCCGTGGACACCGGAGACTCTTGCGGCAGCCTAGGGTTATAGGGAAAGGGTCTAGAAGGCATGTTTCGTCCTTGCCATGACAACATTTTAAACAGAGCAGACTCGGAAGCTGGCGAGACTCAACTTTCTCAAGTGAACTAACTACACTACAGCTTAGTACGCATTAGCCCCAGCACCGGCTGTTTGAAGTTGACTCTAGGCTCCACGGTGACGGCCGACCGTTGAGCTTTGTTCAAGGGAGAGGGAAAAAGAAAAAGAAAAGAAAGAAAAGAATTTCTGGTCTAGTTTCGCTTTAGTAGCAAATTCAAACAAATAAACTTGAATAAAAGCGTAGGCTTGCAAGTCGCTGGTTGGTCTAGCATATCTAGAGACTAGTTCATCTTGACTCGCTTCGAATACGTAGATATAGCGATCAACAGGCCGTACTCCGTATTCAATTTTATATAATGCTTACTTCCGTACCCATGTGTGAAGATTTAATATCCAAGGATCACGACGAACTGCGCATTGAGATCGACACGACTGAGCTCAATTGTGAATTGGCGTGTGTATGCCAATGCACTGGATACGGAGCGCGTATTCCGTGTGTAATCGTATGACTAGGACGTGTAATTTAATATCGATCAATAAATATCAAGGCCTACCGAACGATTATTAATGCAGCAACTGACTAGCTAACTAGTTAGTTAACTTAGTTAGCTACACAGTATACAATATATTGATAGAACGTCGTATACGATGGTAGATGCAATATTTACTCCGTGGCAGACGTTACACGGATCGGTCCGTACCAAAACCATGGTTCGCGATAGTCGCCCGGGCTGCATTTGGCTGCTACTTACCTGGACAATTGAGCACAGGAAGTGTGTAAAAAATCGTTAATATAGTATCACTATATAATAAATAACACGATAATACTAGCGCAATACATAATTACGAGTGACTGGCAGACAGGCCACAGTGCCGTGTCCCGCTAACCGCTCTCGGCTAGCGGCGTACCCCTGGCGCTATCGGCTGCTATCTGAAGGTGCGCCGGAACCTAAAATTATTATTATTACGCTCGCTCTCTCCCCTGGCCGGCGCTGTGCCTGCCTCGCCTCGTTGCTTGGGAGTTGGAAAATATTATCAATATCGCCTTAGGCCACTCCGTATTATTCCTCCATCTGCTCTCACCACCACCAGGCTCGAGCCCGCCGAATGACCCTCTCTGTCCCGTTGTTGTCCTGCAACGCTTGACAGCTCGCTCAGACCACATCTGCTGCACCTTCCCACCGGACGGTCCGCTGGTTCTTGCGCGGTTGCTCCCGTGGATAAGGGGTCAACCACACAACTACACCAACCCTTCCTTTTCGCTTCCTTATGATATGACCCGAGCCCCTTCTTTGCGCCATACTCGACGTCCGGAGGAGATCGACTCGCTTACATCGTCTGTTGCATCGGAAGTCGTCCCGCAGTCATCATCTGGCTCCGGCCCACGGAGGTGCTTTGATTTCTGAGAAGAGAGAGAGAAAGAGACACAGAGAAGCTGGTCGACATGACCATTTCTCCACCGGGGTCGCCAACAGGCGCCACCCCGACTGCGCGGCCTATGAGTGCTATTATCCGTCCGCCCAGGAGCATGAGTCGCATGAGTATAGGAAGCAGGCCTGGAGGCAGCCGCGCATCGGACGAGGAGAGCAAGACGGCGGTCAAAGTCGGTACGTACGAAAAAAAACTAAAAAACACTGCACTAGAGCTGTATTCCGGGGTTGATTTCCTATTTGTATCTTTCTAAATACTAACTGGTTCTTCTTCCTAGCTGTGCGTGTGCGACCACCGTTACGACCAACCGATCCAGGCTACGAATTAATTCCACAGCGATTTCAGCGCTCCATGGTCCATGTGACGTCGCCTACCAGTCTGGCCGTGGACGTTCCCCAGGGGCGCAAGCTGTTTGTCTTCGATCGCGTTTTCCCAGAGACCACCGACCAGGAAGGAATATGGGAATACCTCAGTGACAGCGTCAACTCGTTTTTGCAGGGTTACAATGTTTCGATCCTTGCCTATGGCCAGTCTGGAGCTGGTAAATCATATACAATGGGAACGTCTGGACCCGGCGAACAGAATGATAACCATGCCATGGGTACGACTCTCCTTACGAGACCGGAGTGCATGCCCGTTTTTGCTAATGTTACCTCTTGTATAGGAATCATTCCCCGCGCGGCCCAGTTATTGTTTGAGAGGCTCGATGCCCCAAAACATAGTCGAACCCAGTCGTCCGGCCTTCGTACTCCCGCGAGATATTCAATAAGTTCTCCACACAGCTTCAACAGGTCTCCCCTGGAAAAAAACTGGCAGATGAAGGCCACTTACGTTGAAGTACGCCTCTTTCTCCTACAATTTCATTTGTTTAACCACCCCAACTGACGTGTAATAAAGATTTACAACGAACACCTACGAGATCTCCTTGTACCCGACTCCACACCTGTCGTGGATCGTAGCAATGTCACTATCCGCGAAGATGCCAAAGGCAGAATTATCTTGACTGGACTCCATCAGGTGGAGATCAACTGCTTTGAGGACCTGATCGGCGCGTTGAACTTTGGCTCGAGCATTCGCCAAACCGATGCGACTGCCATCAACGCCAAATCCTCGCGTTCACATGCCGTCTTCAGTTTGAATTTGGTCCAGCGCAAGTCGCCGGCCCCGGTGCTCTCTGCGAAAGAGAAGCGCATGTCTGTACCCCTGGAGGCTCTCACATCGTCCGACGCCGTAGTTACTGTGGACAGCAAACTTCACTTCGTCGATCTTGCCGGAAGTGAACGACTCAAGAATACAGGCGCCTCGGGCGAGAGGGCCAAAGAAGGTATCTCCATTAACGCCGGATTGGCCAGTCTCGGAAAAGTCATCTCGCAATTGTCTTCTCGACAGTCTGGTGCTCATGTATCGTATCGCGATTCGAAACTCACCCGTCTACTCCAGGACTCGCTCGGTGGAACTGCAATTACATACATGGTTGCCTGCGTTACTCCGGCCGAGTTTCATCTGAGTGAGACCCTAAACACCGTGCAGTACGCACAGCGAGCCAGAGCCATTCAGAGCAAGCCCCGCATCCAGCAAGTCACAGATGAAAGCGACAAACAAGCCGTCATTGAGCGTCTCAAGGCCGAAATCGCTTTTTTGCGCCAGCAGATCCGCAATTCCGAAGCCGGGGACAGGAAGAGCGTCGTCCTGCCTGAGCGAGGCGAACGTTCTAGCGACCGGGAAATGGAACTTCAGAATCATTTGTTAGATATGCAAGAAAGTTACACATCTCTAAGCCAACGTCACGCGAAGCTGATCTCAGAGATTAGCAAGGCTTCGGACCTTCATACTGAAGACCCGGATGAACTTGCGGCTGCTATTGAAAACAGTTCCGTCGAGAGACTGAAACGGTCTCACTCCTTTGCCGAATCTGTGGAGCAGGTTGTTCTCGAATATGAAAAGACCATTCAGAGCCTGGAGTCATCGCTATCAAATACTAGGTCCTCCCTATCTACCACAGAAAGCTCTCTGCTTGAACGAGAAAGCAAATGTGCATACATGGAGACTCTCAACGCACAGTTACAAGCGAGAGTACAGAAGTTGATGGAACGTGAGAGCAACACAGAACACTACCTCCACGATCTTGAATCCAAACTCGACGGTCAGTCGACTGGTGACGAGAGGAATTCCGCGCTTGTCAATGAGCTGCGCAAGGAAATTGCTCGGGCACGCGACAATGAGGCGGGCTGTGAAGACTACATTTCAACTCTCGAAGAACGCCTCGCCGAGGCTGATCAAGACATGGAGCTAATGCAACGTGAGATAAACAGACTAGAGCATGTCATTGACCGCCAGAGGAACCTAGGAAAGCTGGATAACCTTCTCTATGAACTGGACCACATTCAACAAAACGGTGCTAAATCTCAAGCTCGTGCAGCTGAACCTCTTCCCCCGGCCCACAGTAACAAGACAATGCGGACTCGTGGAAACACGCTTGATATTCTCACAGAAGCAGTGGAGACTGCTATCCCCGAGGGTGACGATGACGATTTGGCCGACGAGCTTACAGAAGCCGAGCCGTTCAAAGAGGTAGAAGAGTTGGAGACGCCTGTTGAAAAGGTCGATGCTGCAGACGAGGCATTCAAAACCGAAGAGCCTGCCAAAGACTTCGACCAGAGCCCTGCTCAGTCTGAATTTGTTGCTGAAAAACTAGACAATGTCACACAGGAACTGCTAGACCTTCGGGTACAACACGAGTCGACGCAGAACGAATACGATCTCCTTGCTGCGAAGTACGAAGAAGCGTTGCGGACTATGGCCGAAATGCAAGACCAGATCGACTTCAGTCGCCATGCTCCGGCGCCCTTGAATGCCGACACCCCTATTGACAGCCCCCGGTCGCAAAGTTTTTTAGACAACATGAAGACGCAGGAATCAAACCCTGGCGGACAACATTCATCTTCGCGATCGCTCTCTTCGGAGTTATCCTCGGTAGAGCAGTCGGGCATCTCGCAGGACACTTCTGATACTACAGTTATGTCTATACAGGAAGAAGAACCTCTGGAGAATGGCGTTCACGCGCAATCCGCAGATGAGATCAAGACTTTGCGACAGCTTCTACGGGAGCACGAGGAGGGTCTGAATCTCGTCGCCCAAAAGTATGCTCAATTGGAAGCCGAACACGACGACACTCTTGTTCTTGTGGAGCAGCTAAAGACAGACCTGCAGAAGTCTCGCACTCCTCAGTCCCCTACCACTCCTGTTTCAGGTGGATCATCAGTTATTCGCAGAATGACAAGCCAGAACCTAATGTCCACAGTGGATCGTGCTCATAGGTCTCTTGCTGCGTTGCGAAATATTGCCGCTGAAGAATTTGAACAGAGTCCGGAGACTATGCATAACTTTGAGCAGAATCTAAATGTAGCAATGCATGAACTTCATATTCGCATGGAGCGCATCCAAGCCTTGGAATCTGAGAATGCCAACGTCAAGAAAGAGATGGAAATGAAGGCTACAATCATCTCTGGATTGACCCGGGAACGATCGAGTTTGCAAGGTGCCAAGCCGATGGATATGGCAATGGTTTCTCAAATGCGCGACCAGATACTCCAGCAAGAGAACCAAATGAAGGAGATGCAGGAAGCCCACGACAGCCGAGAGCAAGAGCTGCTCGTCAAGATTGAGAAACTCAACGCGGAAATATCATCCCATTCCGAGTCACACGCTGTTGACACCAATAGCCTTTCGGAGGAGTCTCAGCTTCGTCTCACACAGCTTGAAACTGAACTTTCAGAATGGAAAGGCAGGCATGAAACTGCTATCATTTCGTTGGAAACATCCGAGCAAAAACTACGGGAAACCGCCGCTGAATTGTCGGCTGCCCTTGCTTCAGTTGACGCCCTTCAATCCCAACATGCCAGTTCCACGGAATCACTGGCGAGGGAGAAGGCCACCCTGTTGCAGGAAATCGAGGAGGAAAGAAAGAGACAAGAGTCGCAAGTCGCAAGCTTGCACACAGAAATTGATGAGCACAAGTCTATCATCTCAACTCATCTAGCCACGATTGCAAATCTCGAGGCATCTCATGCCGCTGTTCAAGATCAATTAACGCACTATATCTCCACCAAGGAGGCCAGTGATGCCACCGCGGCGGTCTACCAGTCAAGGATAGCTGAGCTTGAGGATCAATTAGACTCACACAGAGCTCTTGTTGACAGCCACGAGCAGGAACTGGCAACCTTGCGGGATGCTCATCAACAGCAGGTATCTGATTTGGAGAGCAAAATCGCAGCTGCAGACTCGGCCAAAGCTGCACACGATTCCTTGATCGAACAGCTGAATGCTCAGCATGAAGAAGCCCTGGTAGCTCTGAGATCCGATATGTCAGGCTCCAAGGATGACCTGACGGAGTTGCTGAAATCCATCTCCAAGGTACTAGAGACTGAAGTGACGCCCGTGACTATCTCCGATCAACTTGAAGACCTTGTGTCTGAAAAGCGTAGCTTGGAAAGCAAATACGCCGATCTGATCGATGCCAATGAGAGTCTTCTGAACCAGCTTGAAACCAAACGTGTTGCTGACGGCGAGCCAAAGGCTACAACTGTTGGACATGAATCGAAGGTCACGGAACTTGCAATCTTGGTTGCTACCCTCGAGGAACGGATTAAGGAGAAGGACGAACTTATCAAGAAAAAGGATGCCACAATTGAGGACATCACCGCTGAGAAACAGAAGAGCGTTCGCCTTGTTGAAGAACTGGAGGAGCAGATTACCAGCACTTTCGACCAGCACCACAATCGTCTCTCTGTCATGCAGAACGAACGCATGCAAGCCCTTGAAGATGCGAATGCCAAGGTTTCTAACCTTGAACGAGAAATTGAAACCTATCAAGTCCGTATTGAGCAGCTCGAGGTAAGATTATATCTGTCAGCCCTATTCTTTAATAAAGCAGATAAAAAAAAAAGAACTAACTTGTGAGACAGCTCCAGCTCAAGAACAACGGAAACGACCCTGCAATGGATCGCACCAATTCTCTCACCAATCTTCGCAAAAGTACTTCCAATACATCACTTCCATCTCCTCCACCGGCAATCCCTCTTCCACCTCTGCCCAATATTGCTTCCACTGCGTCTGGAAATACTACCAGCATGTCTCCGCCCAGCTCTCGTCATACTAGTCGGGAGTTGGTCAGCACTCAATTAATGGAGGACCAAGAAGCCCGCATTAAGACGATTGAGAAGCATCTTTATGCCGAGAAACAACTCACGGCCACCTTGGAAGAGGCGCTCGGGGATCTAGAGACTCAGAGCAACAAGATTAAAGCCGATATGGAAGGCTGGAAGAAGAAAGCCTGGCAACTAGAAGACGAGCTTCAGACCCTTCGAAAGGAGCGCAACTCTACCCGTCTCTCTCTGCAAGCTGTTGAGGAAGAGCGCAGTGCTCGCCGCGAAGCCGAAGCTGCTCGCGCTCAGCTGGAAGAGCGGATGAACGCCATCAACAGGAAGAAGAAGAAGAGTACCCTCAACTGTTTCTAAGCGAATGGTTATGGTTGTTCTCTTTGTATTCTTTCAGTATATCTGTAAAACTCCTGTACATTGAAAGAAAAAAAACAGAAAAGGGATTGTGACTATCCTTATTTTCCTTTGTCTTGTTTTCATTCTTACCAAGACCCATTCTCACATACCTTTCCTTCTTGTCATACCCCATCCCTTACGATATTTGTTTGTACGTACGAACGATACAGGCTCCCTTTCAAAGCCTGATGTACAATGCCCTTGTTATCGTCTTTATCCCCCTCTCTTCTTCTCTTCTTATTGAATGTATTTCTCTCTTCGCCCCGCCCTTTTTTTATACATACCATACCCCATTCGCCGTCCTCACATGTTCCAAAACCCTGTCACGAAATATTTCTTTTCCGCTTTCTTGCGTCTGTACTTAGTCTTTTTTTTTTTTTCCCTTGATTCTTACGCTCGCTTTCGTTTCTTGTCTATTTTCAATATTTTCGCCATTCTGCACAAATGACGACCATGGATGACGTTGGTGGGAGCAGTTGAATTTCTTTTTTGAACTTTGAATATTAGCATTCTAGCAATGCAAAATATAGATTATCTTTTTTATTAGTTCGTATGGTAAATCATCTACTTGATAAAGTCTTAAGTGTGAGTGCTATCGATAAGGTCGGGCCTTATCACATGACGTCGGGGACAACGCGTGCATCATGACAGGCTGGCTTTTGACTCCCTTTTTCCCCTTCAATGGGGCTAAAACACAAAAGTTTGAGAGTAGGGGGCAACAAAAGAGAAAAGGAAAAGATAATGGACAGATCCAACATCATCATCATCCACCCGGACCTCGGCATCGGCGGCGCCGAACGCCTCATCATCGACGTCGCTCTCGCGCTCCAAAACCGTGGCCACCAAGTCACCATCTACACATCGCACCGCGACAAATCGCACTGTTTTGAGGAAGCGCGGGATGGCACGCTTGATGTCCGGGTGCGCGGAAATACGCTCTTCCCGCCATTGCTATTTGGCAGGTTTCATTTGTTGATGGCTTCGTTGCGCCAGTTACATTTGACTGTTTCTGTGCTGGCGGAGATGGGACGGACGGGGAAAAAGATAGCTACCTCGAGTGGGCAAGAAAAATATCAGAATGACGTGTTTATTATCGACCAGTTACCGGCTTGTGTGCCCATACTGAAGAGCTTGGGCGAACGATATATGCGGACAGCAGGTGGTAAACAGCGGATACTGTTCTACTGCCATTTCCCGGATCAATTGCTCGCGCGGCGCAATGAAGGTAATCTGGCTTTGTGTCTGCTCAAGGAGGCTTATCGATACCCGCTGGATTGGTTTGAAGGGTGGGCGATGAGTGCTTCGGACAAGGTTGTTGCGAACTCGAGGTTTACGCGCGGGGTTGTCAGGCGTGTCTTTGGATCGGGCCGGTTGGGAGATGTCAAGGTTGTTTACCCGTGTGTTGATACGAAGGAGTCGTCGGCGCTTTCTTTTGAAAAGGAAGTTGTGAAGGAAGGGACTTTATGGGATGGGAAGAAGATTCTTCTGAGCATTAATCGGTTCGAGCGCAAAAAGGGTATTGATTTGGCGATTCGTGCGTATAATGGGCTTTCTAAGGAAGATCGGATAGGAACTCGTTTGGTAATTGCAGGTAAGCGCTCTACTACCGTCATTCGTGCCCCCCCCCCC